GAAAACAAAGAGAGATAAGTCTATATTTTTGGTAAAACTTCATTTCTATAGAAATCAACGGAAAATATTTTTATCCCCCCCCCCCCTCACTGAAACAACAATTCCTTTTTCAAGTATTATGAATTGTTATTTCACAAATTCAAATTTATACCAATTGTTTGTTGTTGCAGGGAAGTGAGTTATTTCGGGGGGGGGGGGGGGGGGGGGGGGATGAGGGTGTAGAACATATGTTTACAGACTAAAAGCAGCAAAAATAGTCATTTTATTGCCAATGAATCTAATATGTTAGTTGACTTTTACATAAGTTAAACATAATAATAATAATAATAATAATAATAATAATGCTTTATTTAGAGAAGGTAACCCGATTAGTACAAGGTACTATTCTTCCCCGGGGCCTTCTAAATTTCAAACAACATATTACATAAAACGATACAATCAAAGATAAAACATGTAATGATAAATTCATTAATTCATGAATAATTAAATGTCATATAATGTTCAACTTAATGAAATATAGGCTCAAGATAAATAAGTCAATATTTATAGTTCAGGAGACATAGTTGAAATGCAATAGTAATAATAATACAACAGGTACAAAAGAAATATACAAACATATATTTACAGACGTTGGCTAATTATAATTTTTTCCACATTTCTTTTAAAGATATGTAAAGATGGTGACAATTTTGCATTGGGGGTGGGGGTTCGGGTCACAAACAAAAAAGAACAAACTTTAAATAGAGCCTTGAATAACTTTTCATGGATGTTGTTAATAAAGCAAAGATGCAGTCATGGATGTAGAATAATGTGTGTGTACTGCACAGGTACAGTCGTGGATGTTGTTTATAAGGCACAAGTTCAGTCATGGATGTAGAATAAAGTGTGTGTACTGCACAGATACAGTCAGGGATGTTGTTTATAAGCACAGGTACAGTCATGGATGTAGAGTAGGATGTGCATACTGCACAGGTACAGTCGTGGATGTTGTTTATAAAGCACAAGTACAGTCAGGGATGTAGAATAAAGTCTGTATATATACACAGGTACAGTCATGGATGTAGTATAAAGTGTGTGTACTGCACAGGTACAGTTGTGGGTGTTGTTTATAAGGCACAGGTACAGTCATGGATGTAGAATAAAGTATGTATATATGCACAGGTACAGTCGTGGATGTTGTTTATAAGGCACAGGTACAGTCAGGGATGTAGAGTAAGATGTGTAAACTGCACAGGTACAGTCGTGGATGTTGTTTATAAGGCACAGGTACAGTCAGGGATTTAGAATAAAGTGTGTGTACTGCACAGGTACAGTCGTGGATGTTAACGTTGTTTATAAGGCACAGGTACAGTCATGGATGTAGATTTAGATGTGTATACTGCACAGGTACAGTCGTGGATGTTGTTTATAACTCACAAGTACAGTCATGGATGTAAAATAAAGTGTGTGTACTGGACAGGTAAAGTCGTGGATGTTGTTTATAACTCACAAGTACAGTCATGGATGTAGAGTAAGATGTGTTTACTCCATAGGTACAGTTAGGGATGTTGTTTATAAGGCACAAGTACAGTCATGGATGTAGAGTAAGATGTGTATACTGCACATGTACAGTTAGGGATGTTGTTTATAAGGCACAAGTACAGTCATGCATGTAGAATAAAGCGTGTGTACTGGACAGGTACAGCCGTGGATGTTGTTTATAAGGCACAGGTACAGTCATGGATGTAGAATAAAGTGTGTGTACTGCACAGGTACAGTAATGGATATTATTTATAAGCACAGGCACAGTCATGGATATAGAGTAAGATGTGTATACTGCACAGGTACAGTCAGGGATGTTGTTTATAAGGCACAAGTACAGTCATGGATGTAGAATAAAGTGTGTGTACTGCACAGGTACAACCGTGGATGTTGTTTATAAGGCACAGGTACAGTCAGGGATGTAGAATAAAGTATGTATATATACACAGGTACAGTCGTGGATGTTGTTTATAAGGCACAGGTACAGTCATGGATGTAGAATAAAGTGTGTGTGCTGGACAGGTACAGTCGTGGGTATTGTTTATAAGGCACAGGTACAGTCAGGGATGTAGAGTAAGATGTGTATACTCCACAGGTACAGTCGTGGATGTTGTTTATAAGGCACAGGTACTGTCATGGATGTAAAGTAAGATGTGTATACTGCACAGGTACAGTCAGGGATGTTGTTTATAAGGCACAAGTACAGTCATGGATGTAGAATAAAGTGTGTGTACTGGACAGGTACAGTCATGGATGTTGTTTATAAGGCACAGGTAAGTCGTGGATGTTGTTTATAAGGCACAGGTACAGTCATGGATGTTGTTTATAAGACACAGGTACAGTCAGGGATGTTATTTATAAGGCACAGGTACAGTCATGGATGTTGTTTATAAGCACTGGTACAGTCATGGATGTAGAATAAAGTGTGTGTACTGGACAGGTACAGTCATGGATGTTGTTTATAAGGCACAAGTACAGTCGTGGATGTTGTTTATAAGGCACAGGTACAGTCATGGATGTTGTCTATAAGCACGGGTACAGTCATGGATGTAGAATAAAGTGTGTGTATTGGAAAGGTACAGTCGTGGATGTTGTCAATCAGACACCGGTACAGTCATGGTGTAAAATTTCTAGTGTTGTCTGGACAGTACAGCAGGATCTTAGAGAGGTGGATCTAATAAAAATATTTACTTATACAAATATTTTCTTCGGATGTTATCGATAATTTTAGCATTAATTTCCTTTAATATGATCAATTATTTTAATACCATACCCTACATATTTCAGGTATCACACCACGGTTACCGACCAGTCAAGATGTTAATTGGTCCATGCATATAAAATTAACTTTTTTTTTTTTGAGAATTTATTTTTTTTTTTTGGGGGGGGGGGTTTCTTCCAGGCTATTTTTACCACTTTGATGCCTGTGCCTAGTAAATTTTATGTACTTTGTAAATAAATAAAGGTGTTTTGTCAGGAACTATTCTTTTTCATGCAGGGCATAGGAGGCTACTTCCTGGGGTGCACTTGAGATGTTTATATATAACACATTGAAACGGGTGAATCAGCCCATTCCACCCGTTTATATCGTAAGACATATATTTATGGGGAAAAACCTGTGTTTTTCATTGACACCACTTGCGTGATCAATGAAATGGGTGAAATCAATAATATTGTGACGTACTTATACTTTCTAACATAAAATTAAGGATTACAAATTAATTCCAATATTTATTTTAATTTCCTTTTTTATTTTACTTTGTTTATTGTTTACTCTATATTTTCTATAATTATACTAGAATGTTTCATTTTAAATTCATCATTTTTATTGAGCACGTAGGATATTGAAATCATGCCCCCCCCCCCCAAAAAAAAAATAAAAATAAATTAAAGACCAGGCTCATATTGTACTCTGAACATAAAGCTTTAAACTTATATCTGTAAAAGTTTTGGATCTTTCCCTAATCACTGCTGACATCGTTTGTCTCGGTATCACTGTCATGGGTAATATAAAGATTAGCGTTAATTGCGCTTTGATTGAATTCAGTCTAAATCTAAATCGGAGAAAATCCACAGAATTTTTTGTTGTGGATGTTATTAATCAAGCGCGGGTTGAGTCAGTGGTAGTGTGTATGTACGGCACAGGTACAGTCGCAGATGTTGTATATCAGGCACAGGATACAGTCATAGATATACAAGATGTACGCTGTAGTAAATGTTACTTTTTAGAGATTATCGCGATCCATACAATGGATTTAGGCATAATCAAGCTTACATATATTTTCCGCGATATATTCACTAAGCTAGTTATCGTTACCGTTTTGGCGATTACAGTCTTCCATAAAGTAGATTTATTTAAAATCAGAAATTTTCTTTCCTCCATATTAACACATTTCGTATTTTTCATTAAAAAACAATCCATACTTAATTAACAACATATAGTTTAATACGTTGGACAATCCGGAAAATCTTGCTCTGACATTCCGTTTTTGATATTAGTGAGCAGGTACAGCCATGGATGTCCGGTACCAGCATTGCCGAGTACAGTTGCGGATGATAGCTGACAGCCACTGTTGTGTTTTTCAGATACTGAGGTCGAATTTTCTCTAACCTGGCGTAGTGTAGTAACCTTTGGACTTCCGGTCAAAGAACTGTCATTCATGTTTATGAAAAGCGTGAGCCTGATGAGTCGTTATGTAGTGCATATTTGCATCTGCAACTCTCCTTTACATTTATTTTGAGAATTCCCATCAAGAACAATGAAAATGCGTGCTTTCAGTCATTTTAAGGAAATATTGGCATCACATCGGGAAAAGAAATAAGGATTTTATTTTTCGGAATGATAGTGCAATACTTATGATTAACAGCAAATATTTTATTAAACATTCAATTTTCGATTTCTGTAAAAAGGGCTCAAAATCAACTTCCGGTAATGGAATGAAAATCAATTAACTGTTAAATTACTGATTTGTCAAAGTTGAAGATGTCCTAACTTTTTAAGTGCAAAGTTATTAACCTGTATATAATTTTCCCCTTAAAATAAGGATGTTGCGTTTCTTTTGCGTTTCTGTATATTTGGATTTGAAAAAAGAACTCCTCTTTTTTATACTCTGTATGGTAAAATTGGTCGTCACTTTCTACGATTTCTAGCCTTTCCTTGCTGTCAAAGGAGGTGCAAAAAAGTAAAAACAAAAAGGGTAAAAAAGGTACGTTTTGGTTAAAAAGCCATTTTGAATGTATTGTTCCCTGAAATTGGGTTTTGTACTTATCAATGTTTCCGTAAAACCTGATTAAAGAACTGAATCTGATTGAGATAGCAAATACATGTTGAGTTTGACATTATATAAACATTCTGATATAAACAATTCTAACTTTAATACCAATCAGATATTAAACAGATGCTGCTGAAAATGAGCACGTGACTGTTGAAAAATATATCAGCTAAGGTTTTCCAAGCGATACATTTTCTGTACATAATCTTACTACAATTAGACAACTGAAATGAAGTTCATACCAAAAGCGATAGAAATAATTATCCTTTTTGGATTAATGGTCTGTATGGCTTTCGGAAACGTTTTACCTAATGGTGATAATTCAAGTTCTTTGACTGAACCATCAAAGGATAAATTGCTAAGAAATGCTATCGATCAGTTGTATAAAGAAACTATGATTCGGCTTGAAATTGAAAAGAAGTTACGTCTCTTGACAAATGAGATTTCAAATCTTAAAACTGAAGGAGAACACAATGGACCATCTACCCAAGAAAATAAAGGAGACATTTTACAAAGTAAGATTTTTTTTGTTTGTTTGTTTTTTTTTCTTTGGATCGTTCGTTTATTTATGTATTTATTTGTATTTATTTATATTTTTTTCTATTTATTTTTTTTTAATTTCATTTCATTTTATTTATTTGTTTATTTATTTTTGAGGTTTTGGTATTTTAGGGGATTTTTGTTTTGTTTTTGTTTGTTTGTTTATTGGTTGGATTGTTGTTGTTGTTGTTGTTGTTGTTGTTTTGCAATTCTTTAAGCAGATGAGTTTTCATTTTCCAGACAGCAATTTATCAAATTATCTAATTCTAGCCAAAGCTAGTATCTTCTTAAAGGTATTTAAAATGCCGGAAATGAATGAAACAATGTGTTAAAGGTTATAATATTATGCAAGGCATTATTTAATGTTTAAAATTCTTTTTGTGTATATTGAAACTGGCATATATTACTCAATGTTTTTCTTATATTATAGCACATAGAAATTATGGATATTAAAACGGGGGGGGGGGGGGGATTAATATCATTTCTTGATGTATTTTTTTAATAATTTGATTTCATTGATTTTTTTTAATTTAACATTAACAATACTGCATTTTCATATTGGATGTAAACTGAAGTATAGATAATTAAGCTTTATTGGGTTTTTAATCATATGCTTAGAGCTAGTGTATTTAAATATTTGTACTTTTTTGAAACAATCATTTTTCCATTACAATATTTTTAAAAAAAAAAATCATTAGGTAATTATTTAGAAAAACATGTATGTATTACTTTCCCTTCTCTTGTAGAAAAATTTGGATATGGATTTTATGCATATGTGTCCAGTGACCTTACAAATCCTGGTGGTCAACACACAATTGTTTATGACGACATTAAAACAAATTTTGACAATGCATACAACCAGTACACGGGAATCTTTACGGTACCAAAGGACGGTCTTTATTCGTTTACCTGGGTAACACGCGTTCAGTGCAGTGAAGCGTACACTAGTGAACTAATTGTCAACAAAGATGTGCTTGGTAGTACATATGCTTACTGCGGTTGGAATACCGTCACTGGAAATGCCATTGTAAAAGTGACAAAGGGCGATGCAGTATTTATACGTACCCGACCAGGTGTTGGAAAGGGAATGATTAGAAGTAATGAATATGGAAGAACTTCTTTCTCTGGGTTCATGATCAATTAAGATTCAAGACATACAAAAGAATAATGCATGCATAGTTTTGTAAGAAAATATTTACGACATTTTTTTTGTTTGGAAATAAATGCAAAAATAAAGTGAGTGTACTTTCATTATCATTTGATTTGTATTTCATATTTTTATTGTTCCTTCTTGCAATCGCAAAGTTATTGTTTTCTGAAACTTATGAAATCATCCTTTTTCTCCGTTGCAGTCACAAAGTATAAGAGTACTACTTTTAATGATGATATAGATCAAATACGTACCGACGGAATTGCAATGATAATTTTTATTTTTACATATCTTTTCATTCATTTTGAATGTTCAGTCAGTATTAGTCTTGCGAATTAATGTCAACATATTTGTTACCTATGATTGGATTACCTGGCTATTAGACATATGATGCTCTTTGATCATGTGTATTACTATTTTCAAATTGAAGCTCAAGTTGAGGCTACAAATTGCAATGGTCTTCTTTCTTATTTCAGCCCAACTGCTTCATCTTCGAAGTACTTAATGGGTATAATTAGACCAATATATTTAATTATACAACAATTATTCTTTTAAACACCCTTGACAAACCTTTACAGGTAAATTCCTGAAGATGTAAAAGATTTATGTTGTTCCTGAGATCTTAACAGCACTAACCATTTTTTTACTGCACACAATCTAAATGGAACAATATTTCTTTTACATGTCATTATTAATGAAGAATTAAATTATATTTCTCTACACGTGGTGGAAATGTTGACGAAAAATAGCCTACACGCTATTGATAAGAATACATTAAAGTTAATGCTATATTACTTTAGAGCTGCTTAATTATGAATAGAAAGAAAAAAAATCTTAATAAAATAAAGGTTTGTTTTAAAAAGTTTTCAGTCACAAGGTTAGAATGCGTGTGTTTATGTTGTGAGAAGTGCATATGGATGACGCAGCATCACGAATATATTGCCAGACCGACTAGATATTGATTGTCATGGCAGTAAGATTGAGAGTGAAATAATTTACAAGCATACTATCATGTGATGCTTCAGGGATGAAAAACACCTGCAAAATTTATCATTATTATGTATTTAAACAGCTGGAAACAGCTGAGAAATAACATGCATACATAGCGTGCTGTAATTGGACAATGTAAATAAAACGCATTCCTGTAGAACAGAAACAGACATAACAAGATGTGTGAAACACTGATGCCCCTGGTAGCTCATGGCGAAAGTTACAGTTTCTCCATGTCAAACTCCAAGTCCATGGTCAAAAGGTCAAAATTGTTGGTATTAAAAGAAAGGTCTTGTCACAAGGAACACACCTTTGAAATGCAACACACCCTTGAAAAATAAATGCCCCTGCATCAACCATTCAGAAATTATGGTCAAAGTAAAAGTTTTCAAAAGTAGGTCCAGCTCAAAAGATCAAAATTGTTGGTACCCAAGGGAAGGTCTTGTCACAGGAAATACGCATGTGAAATATGAAAGCCCTAGCACCAACCATTCGAAATTATGGCCAAGGTTAATTTTTTTTTTCAAAAGTAGGCAAAAATCAGGTCAAAAAAGGTCAAAATTGTTATTACCCAGAGAAAATCCTTGTCATAAAGAAAACATGTGTGAAATATAAAAGCCCTAGAAAAACCATTTAAAGGTAAAAATGTCAAAAACATTATACCCAAGGAAAGAACTTATAACAAAGAATACAAATGTGAAGTATGAAAGCCTTATCATACACCTTTCATAAGTTATGACCAATGTTAAAGTTTGGTAAAGTTTTGCAAAGTGGGTCAAACTCCAAAAGTCAAGAGGTCAAATATGTTGGTACCCAAGGAAAGGTCGTGTCACAAGGCATACACATGTAAAGTGCAAAAGCCTTAGCTCCAAACGAACAAAATTTATGGGCAAGCTTACAGTTTTTGCGGGCAGACAAAAAGACAGACAGATAGACAGACGGACGAACCGAGCAAAAACTATGCGCCCCGAAATTTCGATTAAGGGGGTGTAAAAATGCAAGGGTGTAAAATTTTGCAGCCCAAGAAGGCATAAATGTTAATAAAGATCATGCTAGTATATATATATATCAGTCGTCTTTATTTAAATGCAAAGCAACTAATGTTGAACAACGTATTATGACGTCACAATGTACATACAATAGAAAGACAACGTCATGAATCAAAATTGCGCGAAAAACATCTGAAAAGATTGCGAGAGTTGCAAAAGTAATCAAATGATACATATATTTGGACTCTAAATAATGTAAAATAAATTATTCCATATAAATAAACATATTTATATATACAATGCACACACGCAAAACTGTTCATATAATGGTTTAGGGGCAATACTGCTCACTTTTGTTTATACCATATATATATATATATATATATATATATATATATATATATATATATATATATATATATATATATATATATATATATATATATATATATATATATATATATATATATATATATATATATATTGCATTTTAGTAATTTTTTGTTATATGTCGCAATTTCTATCGCAAAACACGCATCGTTTGTTTCAACCCATATTAACTGCTTTTACAAACATGAAAATCATGTTAAGCTTTGTATTATTAAATGAAAAATAAATACATATTTTTGGTTATACATGTATTTGGATTTGTAAAAACAAATCCTCTTTTTATACTCTGTATGGTAAAATGGGTCGTCGCTTTCTACGATTTCTAGCCTTTCCTTGCTGTCAAGGGGAGTACTTTTTCGTTAATAAATCATTTCGAATGTACTTTTCCCTTAATTTGGTTTTGTACTTTCAACCTTTCCGTAAAACCTGATTAAAGAACTGAATCTGTTTGAGATAGCAAAACCTGTTGAGTTTGACATTATGTAAACAGTCTGATATAAACAATTCTAGTTTTAATACCCATCAGATATTAAACAGATGTTGCTGAAAATGTGCACGTGACTGTTGAAAAATATATCAGCTCTTGTTTTGCAAGCGATACATTTTCTGTACGTCCATGTAATCTAACTACAATTAGATAGCTGAAATGAAGTCCATACCAAAAGCGATAGAAATACATGTAATTATCCTTTATGGATTAATGGTCTGTATGGCTTTCGGAAACATTTTACCTAATGGCAATAATTCAAGTTCATTGACTGAACCATCAAAGGATAAATTGCTGCTAAGAAATGCTATCGATCAGTTGTATAAAGAAACTATGATTCGACTTGAAATTGAAAAGAAGTTGCGTCTCTTGACAAATGAGATTTCAAATCTAAAAACTGAGGGAGAAAAACCAGGAGAATCATCCCAAGAAAATAAAGGAGACATTTTACAAAGTAAGAATTTTTTTTTTTTTTTTTTTGTTCTTTCGTTTGTTTGTGTTTTGTTTTCTTTTCGTTTTTGTTTTGTTTTGTTTTGTTTGTTTGTTTGTTTGTTTGTCTGTGCTTTTGCTGTTTTTATTTTAGTACTACGGTTTTCATTTTACAGACAGGAATACACATGTATCACGTTAAATCATTCTGACCACAGCAATCTTCTTAAAAATATTTAAAAATGCCTATATATTTTTTTAAATGAATGAAACAATGTGTTAAAGTTATTAAAGATTATACAAGGCATCATTTAATGTTTAAGATTTTTTTGCGTATTTTGAAACTTACATATATGCCTCAATTGTTTTGTTATATTACAGCACATAGAAATTATGAATATTAAAACAGGAAAAAATCGATGTCTAATTAATTGAGATCCGTTCCATAATACTTCATTTGTTTGTACAACATTACATTTGTTTTCGTTCATATTTTGAATTTTTCATTTACTTACTGCATTTTGTCATATCAGATGTAAACTGAAATATAAACAAGTTTTATTGGTTTTTTATGCCCCCGTATCGAAGATTCGGGGGTATATAGTTTTTGCCCTGTCCGTCCGTCTGTCTATCTGTTTGTTTATCTGTTTGTCTGTTTGTCCGCAAAAAATTTATCATTGCCCATAACTTTTGACTGGTTGGAGCTATGGCTTTCATATTTCACATGTGTATTTCTTGTGACAAAGCCTTTCTTTGGGTACCATCATATTTGACCGTTTGACTTGACCTTGGAGTTTGAACCAGTTTTACAAGATTTTACCCAACTTTAACCTTTGCCATAACTTTTAAAAAGTTAGGGCTTTCATTCTTCACAGTGCAATTCCTGTGACAAGACCTTCCTTTGGATACCAACAACTTTGACCCTTTGACCTTGACCTAGGAGTTTGATGTACTTTTGAAAAACTTTAGCCTTGTCCATAACTTTTGAACGGTTGTAGTGAGGGCTTTCATCCTTCACATGTGTAATCTTTGTGACAAGTCCTTCTTTAAATTTGGAAACCAGCAACTTTGACCCTTTGACCCTGACCTAGTAGTTTGGCCAACATTTGAAAAACTTTAACCTTGACCATAACTTTTGAACGGTTGGTGCTAGGGCTATCATACATCACACATGTAATCCTTTTGACAAGACCTTCCTTTGGATGCCAACAACTTTGACCTTGACCTTTGAGTTTGACCTATTTTTGGATAACATTAACCTTGGCCATTACTTTTGAACAGTTGGTGCTACGGCTTTCATTCTTCACATATGTTATCCTTGTGACAAGACCTTACTTTGGATATCAATTACTTTGACCTTTTGACCTTGACCTTGGAGTTTGACCTACTTTTGATAAACTTTGCTATATCTTTGAACGGTTGGTGCTAGAGCTTTCCTATTCTACATGGTGTTTCTTGTGAGAAGGCCTTTTCTTGGGCACCATTAATTTCGACCATTTGACCTTGATGTTTGACTTACCTTTGAAAATTTTTAACCTTCTCCATATCTTTTAAATGGTTGCTGGTAGGTCTTTCATATTTTACAGGTATATTCGAGACAAGAACTTACATTGGGTACCAAAATATTTGATTTGCATTTGAGAAAGTTTAATCTTTGCTATAAGTTGCCATACGGAGGCATCAGTGTTTCACAAACACATCTTGTTATCATGAGTATTTAAATATTTTTCCCTTTTTTTAAAAATCCATTTTTCTATTGAAATGTTTTTCAAAATAAAAAAAAATTGTAAGGTGTTTGGAAAATCAACTATGTATTACCTCCTCTTCTCTTGTAGAAAAATCTGGATATGGATTTTATGCGTATGTGTCGAGTGACCTTACAAATCCTGGTGGTCAACACACAATTGTTTATGACATCATTAAAACAAATTTTGACAATGCATACAACCAGTACACTGGCATCTTTACGGCACCGAAGGACGGTCTTTATTCGTTTACCTGGGTGACACGTGTTGAGTGCGGTGAAGCGTACACAAGTGAATTGATTGTTAATAAGGATGTGCTTGGTAGTACATACGCTTACTGCGGTTGGAATACCGTCACTGGAAATGCCATTGTAAAAGTGACAAAGGGCGATGCAGTATTTATACGTACCCGACCAGGTGTTGGAAAGGGAATGATTAGAAGTAATGAATATGGAAGAACTTCTTTCTCTGGGTTCATTATCAATTAAGATTCAAGACATACAAATGAATAATGCATGCATAGTTTTGTAAGAAAATATTTACGACATTTTTTTGTTTGGAAATAAATGCAAAAATAAAGTGAGTGTACTTTCATTATCATTTGATTTGTATTTCATATTTTTATTGTTCCTTCTTGCAATCGCTAGTTATTGTTTTCTGAAACATGAAATCGTCCTTTTTCTCCGTTGCAGTCACAAAGTATAAGAGTACTACTCTTAATGTTGATATAGGTCAAATACGTATCGATGGCATTGCAATTGCGAATGATGAAAAATAATTTATATAATAATTAAATTGATGGATTTTTATAAGGAATCCGGCATATTTTTTTTTTTGCAAAGCAAGTATTATAATGTTAAATTTAATTAATACAATTACATGTTTATTAACATTAACATTCTTTGAATTTGGTTAGTTTTGGAAATATCCGATCTTTATCTTGGAAACTATAACGACAGAATGTCATTTAATCATAATCTTAAAAAAATTTCCAGATTATATAACATATTACTTTGTGTTCATAATAAAGTTTGCAACTTCAAATTTTTATTGCAAGTTGTACTCCATTTTGAGAATAGCTGAAACTATTACATCACTTATTACATCATCAGTGACTTCTCGATATGGTAAATTGTCTGATTTTTGCAATATCATATTTTAAGATCAATATAATTTTTTATGGTATTTTGGTTTGTTTTTTTTTGTATCATGGTATCAGATTATGCCCACTTAGGTGTTTGACATACATTATGTATTGTAACATAGCTGTAAAACGTAGGAGTCCCGAAATGCTTCACAGTACATGCCTTGTGAATAGAATTCATTTGTATAAGTAATAATTGCAATTCCTTGTTGTTGCATATGATAGCCATTGTTTACGATGAATATCAAAATAAACAACTTGTTCTTAACAAGAAGCTTCTAAAAGATTTTTTCCTATTTACATTCCTTATTGTGGCCCCACCCTTCTCCCCGCGGCCATGATTTCAATACACTTGAATCTGTATGAACTGAGCATTTTTGAATGTTAATATGACAAATCGTGGCTATGATGATATTGATGTGAAGATTTCTTTCTACGTATTCCTACAAAAAAAATCTTTGCAGCATCTCAAGTCTGTGAGCTCAGCAGTCTCTGATCCAACTTTTGCACCAAATCCAAATGAGATGTGGCCCCATACTGTGTGCCAAGATTTTTAAAAAGTTAAAATTTGAACTATCTGGGGATACTTCCATTTCAAAAAAAATTAATAGTCCAGGCCATCCTGTTATGAAGAAGATTTCTTAATATACATCTGTATCTTTTCCAGTGTAAAAATTTAATTCTTATTGCTGTCCCTTCTTACTCGGGGGCCATGATTTGAACAATCTGAATTTGACTATGATTTGAAATTTGAATCTGCAGTACCTGAGCATGCTAGCATATTAATATGACTTATAATGGCTTTCCTGTTCTTGAGAAGAAGATTTTAAATAAATTTTCCTATATGTATATTGTAAAAAAAAATTGTTGCTCTTTTGTTGCCTCCATCTACCTCTTGGGGTCTCTATTTGAAAAGAATCTACACATCTACCTGAGGAGGCCTAGACGTTAATATGACCAATCCTACCATTCCTGTGCTTCGTTAAATTGAAATAATTCTCTCTTACATCTTCCAATTGAATAGATAAATCGAATATTGAGCCCCATCCGTTGCCAAAGGGTCTTGATTTAAACCAATTTGAATCTAAACTACCAGAGTATGGACAGTACTCCCCAAAATGACATCGACAGACCTATCAGTATCTCGTATGCCTCTCTCACGCATCCGTCAAAGCCCTGCTTCTCTTGTGCATGGAGTTCATTAGGACATTCATCCTCCTCATGGGGATGCCATAACACTCTTTCAACAAGGTAGTCTCTAGTTTGTCGAGAGTAGCAGGGGCATTCCAAAGCCCTCTTTCCCTACTGTTCAAAGCCGGACGGTGGCCAGTTGTGTAAGTTAGCGATATTGATTACTAGAAAGTCTTGACAAACTCTGGCAACATGGGACCAGGGTAACTATGCTGGAAAATAAGCAATACAATGCACACGTTTGATAGGAACTCCAAAAACATACGAGCTGGAAAAATAATCTTTCGCTCTCGGTTTCGTCCAGTTTCTGAATGAATGTGCCGATTATAATTGCCTACTGTTTTAACTGCAGTTTCAATGCTTGTTATATGCCAATTATGCAAGTGGCAAGATGAATAACCATAGGCCTGCTTTGACGTAAGGTCGGTACGGGCGGAGGGTAACTCTCAAACGAAAAGATCATGGTGGAAATATTTACAATGAACTGCCAGTCTTTCAATGAATGCATCATATTCAAATTGACTGTAAATAGCAGAAAACTATGCGTATACATCCAGAGTATCTGGTGGTATGGCCGTCCGTCGTCATCATCACTCTGCACGTGTTTTTGGCTTTCTGCCAATTTCCCTACGTGACGTCACACATAACACAGTTGAGTAATTTGGGAACTTATCCTGGTGCACAGTTACTAAGACAATCTTCTGACCGTTTCCCACATTTTTGGCCATAAAGTTTTAAGAATAAAAATAAAACATTATGTTACCCGGTGATTCTTGTTTCCTTCCGTAAATCCAGATGTTAAACTATTATCCCCTTGTGGCCCCATCCTACCCAAAGGGATAATGATTTTCACAGATTTAAATCTATTCTTCGTCGTAATGAGATTCATCTTGCCTGGTTTAGTATATTTCTTGAGAGGAAGATTTTTAAATGACCCTACCATATTTTTGCCGACTCTTTGCTAAGTTTTATTGCATTGGACAGGTGGCTCTTAAGAAGATGAAGAGAGGTGAAAAGTTTACAAAATAACGACAGCGACGACGACAACGACAATGGACAAATTTCGTTCAGAAAAAGCTCACCGTAGCCTTTACCACGGGTGTGCTTAAAATTGAATATAAAGTATTGTGCTTGAGTCAGTTGGATGTTTTCATGCCTATCATAAAACATCCGTATCCGACCAGGTGTTGGAGATTGATTTTTTAAAAAACAAAATATGCAGTAAGGGCATGTATGAAAATTCAACAGAAGTTCAGGTGTGTTACTTTTCCAAAATTCATAATAATTAACAAAATAAGATAAATATATTTTTTAACTTACCAATTCTGTTTTTATTTCATCATGTGCGGTTTCATTTATAATTAAGTAGTCAGAGTAATATTTGGATCTGAATTTCTTGGGCGATCATTTTGATAGGAGAAAAATATAGCCTACAGTTTCATATTCTAGCAGGTTGTAAAATACCTGCAAAATTTCATCCACGGAGACTGGACTTCTGCGAAACATAATTGTTACATTAAATATTGTTTCATTAATATTTCAAATCTTAATTTAACTTAGAATATAAACCTTAATTTTAAACAAGAATTAAACATTTTATAATGTTACCAAAGAACAAAATTCTGATTTATTTATAGCTTAACGGGTAAAAAAACATGAAGTCTATAGCTAATTACCGTTCAATTACCCTTGCATGTCAAAGTTTCATTTATCACACAAGTTTCTCTACATAATTATGCTTAACCTCGATCCTTTTTGACATGTACACAAAAGATTCACTTGGCAGTGAATTTCTAATAATTGTTTACACATGAGTTAAAGAATAAATTAATACAGAAAAAACAATGAATACGAAAATGAAGGAAATCTTTTATTGTATAACTACAGTGTTGAAGATCCCCAGCTTTCAATTTTGTAGTAGTAACAATTATCTTTAGGACTGGGTAAAACTTTGTTGCACATCTGCTTATATTTCAGACGGATTTTTTGTTTCTCAGATGATTAAGACTAATGTTATTATTTCCTGAATTGAAAAGAGATATTCTGTAATCTAAATGGCCCATTTACTATCAGAATATGCGAGACAGTCACCATTTATTTTATATCAAAGATTCTACATACAATTGGCAGCTTTTCATGACATATATGACTGCATAATATTGTTGGGAATATATTATGCATTCTTATAGATTTTTATATATAGAATTTCAAATACCATCTAGAAGAGATAAGTTTCTGTGCTCATCCACATAACAGATGTAACAAGAGAAGTCGATATACTTTTAAATTAGCTTATAGATTGACCATCGATATTTAATTTATCGTCTCTAACTAGTGATGATGTATCACCTTACCAAGTAACCTGTGAATTTAACACTGACAGAGATTTAAATCAGTAGATTTCTACCTAGGTTTCTAGCTTTTTATTTTACGATTGAGACATGCGATATATTGGAGGAGATAAAAAAAAAGTTTGCATTCCAAAATAGTTCAATCCTTTAAAGTGTCGTTTTTTTTAACGTCTTTTCCCCTTTTGCGATGTGTAGATAGAGGAACATATGGTTTCGATTTCGTGGCTAATTTTGATAAGACATTTTCACAAGTAATATCAAAAGGAATTATCAAATATACGAAATCTTTCTAACATAAAAAACTGCCATAAATTAAAATCCACATTTAATTTAATTCATTTTTGTGATCAGTGTGATGTTCAATTCTCGGAGATACTCTAGTGGATGAATAAGGAGTGTTATGCCTACCTATAACTGTTCAGATCCAAATAGTATTCCAAACGGCTATTATTTTGGTGATAAAACATACTATCAACATGACGACAAGGTCTACTTCATCTGCCATTCCTCTTATAGCCTGGAAGGAAATCCAACACTTACTTGTGATGGAGGAACAGGAAACTGGTCAGGAACGTATCCAACTTGTTCTTCTACTACAACGACTTCAGCAACCACAACACTCGCTTATGAAGGTATAATTAAGTCCATCAAAACTATCTATCATCTCCGTTTATATATTTCTTTCAAACTTTAGAAGGATTTCAAATCGATACTTGAAATTTACATTTTAATTAGAACAAATTTCTCTAGAAAAAACGGAAAGGAAACTCTTCTAATGCTTGATCATAACATTTGTAAGAATAAAAATCTTAATACATTTTTTTAAATGGCATTTTGAGACAATCACTAATAGTTAAATTATAAGGATAGATAAAGATATATGACCGTCATAGATATGAGGAGTACAATATTTAATTTCCATTTTAGATTGAAAATATTGCTCTGATATACTGGAATTTTGCTTTTAATGTTATCCTTTTCTAATTTCATATGAATGAAATACCTGTTAATTTTGCCACTTTTATCAGAAAATAGACAATTTCTTTTAATTCAATATGATAAAATTCGATCTTCCTTTTATTTTTATGATCTTCTTAGAGAGAGAGAGAGAGAGAGAAAATTGTGGTTAGTTTAAAAAAAAAAATTATATTATTGAAATAGGCCCCTTCATGGTTGTTAAGGCCACAGGAATTAAACATAAATACTTAGTTTTATCTTTGAAAGTGACAGATCAAAAAGCTTATGTATATTCCAGCGTAATCTCAATTGGATATTATTACCTGAAATATATTCATGTACACAGAAAAAATCGTTTCTGATAGATTTTTTTTTATCAGCATTTGTATATTAAAAGTATAAATCAATAATCACATGTAACAGAGAGACGATAGATCAAATAGTGCAAGGTTTGATTCATTTCTCTCTCTCTCTCTCTCTCCAGCATTAAGAAATACAGTAAAAACCACAAACTAGAATGTTGATAAACATTTTATAGGCCTAGGAGACATATTCGTATTTACTATGAGCATCTTTTGGTGCTTTTCAGGCAGCAAAAATGACTACGAATTGTTTTTGGTAGATGCCCATTAAAAAGTAATTCATAATGTGTTATAATTTGTTTTAAAATTTCAGAATGGTTATATGTTGGAGTCGGAGTGATGTCGTTCCTGGGATTCCTGTTAATTCTCATCGTCCTTTTACTATGCTTGAAGTTATGTTATCGGCTTTGCAGGTGTGTACAAAACACGTACAAAACACAGAAAACTGCATGACGTTTTCAAATTCTTTAGATGCTTTAGGATAACAATGTTTGTGATAAAAAGCAAGTTTTAAATCATAGATAAAAATTTTCATACACAGACATCCACACCCCCCCCCAAACATCCCCCACAGAGAGAGAGAGAGAGAGAGAGGAGAGTGAGAGAGACCTTTGTAATATGTAATTATTATCAGGGAGAATGAGATCCGGCTCAGTGGTTCTATTTATGTGTTTATTTGATGTCTATGAGCGTCAAACATTTAAATTGCCCAGACGTTAACAATACAATAGATCTTGTTCTTTGTTACTTAAAAGTGCTTTATTACATGTTGATAAACATGGCATTAATATTCAAAGTCTTAGACAAATGACGTTTAAAGCTACCATACTTCTTACACATCTATTTCATATTTAGATATTTTACTAGAAAAAGACGTTAATGGTAAGCTAACAACAAAGCTTTATGATAAACGTGATGACTTCAACTTTTCAATTTATTTCACTTCTCTTCATCTTCTCCAGAATCACCTGTCCAACTTCCCTTACTTACATGTATGTAGCGATATACTCTTATCACCTGCATATGGGGTTTATGTCTCTCAGTTGATTCGACACGCAAGAGCATGTTCTACGTATGAACAATTCTAAAACGAGGCAAGCTATTGACAAACAAGTTGATTAAAAGTATCGTTTGAAGTCATCATTTTGCGAGTTTTATGGTCAGTACAATGACATTGTCAGCACATACAACCTATCATTAAGTCAAATGCTGACTGACGTTTTTCATACCAATTGTTAGGCCACACTGAACTGTCTACAGAATTTTCCGTTTTTTTCTCGATCATGACAATGAGCACACGGCGGGTGTGGCCGGTCGGTAGGGGATGCTCACTCCTCCATGAAACCTGATCCCACCTCTAAATTTTGAGGTCCATGTTTGCTCTGCTCCAAATTTGTATCGTTTCATTGGGCTTTCGAATATTATCTTCATATTTCATAGCAAGCTCAAAATTCCATTGAAACAATATAAATCGAGAGCAGAGCAAACAATGACTTCTAAAAACATAGAGGTAGGATCAGGTATCATGGAGGAGTAAGTATCCTTTGTCGACCGGTCACACACGCCGTGTGCTCCATGCCCTGATCGGTCAAACGGAAAAACCCGTAGACTATTCAGTGTGTAAATAATGGCCTAACAATAAGTATGAAAAACGTCAGTCAACATTCATCTTAATTTTAGATTGTATTTGCTGATAAGCAGAACTTTCGAAATGATGACTTCAAACGAGAGTAAAATATCCAGATATGAAACAGATGTGTCAGACTCTGTGGTATCTTTACTTTAAACTTTATCAAAACTTCATCAAATGTCTTAAAGTTTGCGAAAAACCGCACATTTTAGTCGGTACATAGAATAAGTTACATCAACAAATTTCTCAGATCTTCAATTTAATTTCTTTAAGATTTAGAATACACAAAATTGCGATAGTATTCCCAATTAATGAGGTGTATTAAGTAATGTCATTAAGTAATGTCTCTGCTATATATTATTAAAAGCGTTGAAATCTTTGATATCTGGGAACAAATGTGCAAATAATGTTCATGGTACAAAACTTTTGTGTGCAAAAATGTTTTTTCTTTACAATATAAATTTGTAGTGTTTCTCTTTAACAGAAACATTGAATATTGATTGTTTACTTGAATTTAACTTGAAGATCATTTTTACATGTATGTATTTAACAAGCTTATGCTTATGCTACATGTATGAGGAATAAACAGTAGGGAAAAAAATTCTAAGGATTTGAGATAACATAACAACATACCTTATTTCCTTAAGACTTTGCCTTACTGTTCATTTCTTACCTACTGAACAACTTTATTCTACTCGAAAATATTGGATATACTGGATGCGATGGAAAGATACAGTAAATAAGTTGATTGAATTCTCGGTTGTACTTGATATATCTATTTCCAATTTGTTTTAGGAAACGTTCAAGAGTAAGTGCACTTCATGGAATCGATGAGGAGGTGGACGTGGGATGCTGCTATGCTTGCTGCACCAGATGTTGTCTAAAATGCTGTAAATGTTGTCGAGACGACACTGACGTCATTCAAAGAAAACCATCGAAACCGAAAACGAGGCAACCAAAGCAAAGTAGTAATCAAACCTACGATTTATCACCAACTTCTACTGCTGCTTCCGAGGAAAGATCAACTTCGACTCAAGTAATGCAGAAAAGGGAGATTAAACCCGCAAAAGAGATTATAGCCTGGAAACCACACTCAAATCCACTTCGGAATATTAACACCAGTACTAAGTAAGGACAATAAAAAGTGCCGTACTGTCTGTTAATATACTAACATTAACATTTTAACTATTTTATACTCTTTGTTTTTAAATACTTGTCAAATTGTTCTCTTAAAATACTATATGTTAGATGTACATATGGTGTATAAACTTTTCATGAACAGCATATTTCTATCCACCCCTTATGTACAACTGAAAACAGGTTCCATTGTGAAAAAAGAGGTTTAGATTATGCTTCATTTCAAAGCAAAGTCTTCTTTGTCATAACGGGAACTAATGGATTTATTTCACTATCAATATGAAGAAAATATATTACATAAATGATGTTCAGAATTATTGTAAGGTGTGTAAAGTGTTTGATGAAAACGTGTACAAAATGGCCTCTACTTATCTGCTTGATTTGACACTTCTTAAGATGAATATGCATAAAAATAAGTTAATATTTACATGGAATTAAAACCATTGCTAAAAGTAATTGCTACTTCGAAACGATTCGTGAAATAATGTGTTAAAATCAAGCATTTATGTTTACACAGACTACAAAACAACCTCTTATTTGAAAAATCAAGTGCATTAAATCGAATAAAGTTTTAACAAGATGTGTATTTTGCATTTAAAAGTTTCCGATAAGTAACGAGTTTTGAAACAAATTTATGTACATGTTGCACTTCGTTATTCCGATTTGTTATAATTTTATCTCTTAACTGTATGTTTAACCCATAGAATAAAGAAAAGGGATCATGAAATTTTTTGCATGACAATTTAAAAGTTAACCAGTTGACGTCATTTCCTAATACCTAGTGTCAGTGCATTCTTCCAGGTGTCCCGAAATAAATCGATGTAAATCTGATAGCAGTACATTTTGGTTTTATTTGAACAACGTTCTCTCTCTCTCTCTCAATATTCGAAACAATCCCAACTATCTGATTATAATCATTACATGTACATGTATATCGGTTTCGTGATTTTTTCATGAATACATTGGCATCCCTGTGTAATTGTCATCATTAAATGTAAAATATAAAAAAAAATTTGCAAATTAAATAAAATCATTTTCTACGAAAGCCTATTAGGATCAAACTACGGTAAAAAAAAAAAAAATTAAAAGGCGTTATAACGCCTTTTCAAAAGGCGTTATAACGCGAAAAAAGGCGTAATAACGCCTTTTGAAAAGGCGTTATAACGCGGAAAAAGGCGTAATAACGCAAATAAAGGCGTAATTACGCCTTTCCAAAAGGTGTTATAACGCGAAAAAAGGCGTTATTACGCCTTTCCAAAAGGCGTTATTACGCCTTTCCAAAAGACGTTATAACGCCTTTCCAAAAGGCGTTATTACGCCTTTCCGAAAGGCGTTATTACGCCTTTCCAAAAGGCGTTATTACGCCTTTCCAAAAATTTATAATATAATTTATAATATTAAAACTACATGTATAATCTAAATATTGCATAAATAAAGATGCCGTTGGTTCAATCTTTCATATATTTACTATTTTAAAATAACGCTTTTCCATTTTTGGATACAACTCCTTTTCAAACAGGCCGGTAGTACGAATGTGAGTGTTGGGGGGGGGGGTCCCCCTCCCCACTTTTTGGGAGAATAGTCTTGCTATAGTTTAAATATAAAAAATATCATTAATTGATTGCTTGGTCCCTTAACATTTTGTTGCAGTATGGTTAAACTCGGGCTAGTCATTGCATTAAAAAAAAGTTTTACCGAAAAATTAGAAAAAAGTTTCCCCTCAAGTTTAGGCAGTTTATTTTTTTTCGGGGGGGGGGTGTCTTGTTTTTTTGTTTGCTTGTCAATTTTATGGGACCCCCCCCCCCCCCCAGTTTAAAAGCACGGGCCTGTCAAAAACATAATAATGGCCCTTCAAAAGGCATAATAACGCCTTTTTGAAAGGCGTATTAATGCCTCTTTAAAAGGCGTAATAACGCCTTTTTGAAAGGCGTAATAACGCGTTATAACGCCTTTTTTCGCGTTATAACGAAAGGCGTTATAACGCCTTTTAAAAATTTTTTTACCGTAGTTTGATCCTAATAGGCTTTCGTAATTTTCAAGAAACTCTATTACATCTCACGTCATATAATTTTCGAATATTTTGGTAATTTATAGAAAACAAAATTCACATGAATAATTCAGTTACATTTAAATGATCCTAAACTCCATTTTTTCTAATTAAATAATTAAAACTTAAAATAAATGATGCAATAAAATCGTTTGCTATAGTTGGTAAATAATACTGCATTGAAATATTTTGCACATCAGCAATCTAGATTGTGTACTCATAAAACAACCGTCTAAGATTAAGTGGCATACCCCTCATCTAGAGTAGTCATATTTATATATACATGATCTATTAAGCATGTAAGTTTGTTGATTGACGGTTTTCGCCTTTCACTCCGGTTCCATCCTCTGGTATTTTAAACTCATAAAGTAAGGAGTCGCCTGATAAAGCAGGATATTTAAACCCTCCAGCCAGGCTTCCTACCCTCTAAAGAGTATTTCCAACCCAACAGAATTGACAGAGACTTCACTTAGATACAGCAGGCTAAATATCGGGTACATTTATATCGAGTTACAGAGCAACATTCCATAACTTATTCAGTTTCGTTGGACATTTTGCATTCGTGTAATCTTTACCCAATTTTCTTTAGAATTGTAATATATCTTTTGTTTGATCAGAGGATAAAATCTGTTTAGTGATTTAATTTTTTTTCGGATAGAATTTCAAATATCGGAAGTTTGGACTTTTTTTGATTTGTAAATATAGACTTCACCAATAGATGTGACGTTTGGTATCTATAGAAAAGGATTTCATAAAAGTGCATGATGTGCCTTGGAAGGAGGTATATTTCGGTACAACTGGAAAATTAATTTTAAAAGAATCCGTGAAGAACAATTCGTAAGAGCGACTTTTTCCTTGTAAGATGTCTGCCTATAACTGTTCAGATCCTAGCTCTATCTCGAATGGCTACTATGTAGTAGATAAGACTTACTATGTGGACGGGGATCAGGTATACTTTGTGTGCCACTCCTCCTATACTCTGAATGGGAACCCCGTATTTACGTGTGACGGGACCACTGGGAATTGGTCGGGAACATACCCAACATGTTCCTCCACAACCACAACAACTGCGGCTCCAGACTATGAAGGTACAGTCTTGTTTTAAGTATTTGTAGAATACTATTTTTAATAATTTCCTTTCAGGTTTTAATTTTACGGTGTATACAATAAAATATTTAATGAAGAGAAGAAAAAAATCAGAATTAAATATGTACTAGCGAATGAAGACATGGAAATCTAAAGAAAAAATGTGGAATAAAAAGACACAAGCGAAAAATTTTATTGGACTTACTATTCTTATGCTTGGTTATATATATATATATATATATAGAGAGAGAGAGAGAGAGAGAGAGAGAGAGAGAGAGAGAGAGAGAGAGAGAAATTAAATCTTTGAAAATATAAATCTGCTAGAAGAAACTTTCTTCCTTTCTTCAGGATAGTTATACTGTCTTTTTATTGCCTAAATTGCTTTTCTTTTCTTTTCTTTTTTCTTTTTTTTATCCATTTTTCAAAATTTTATTAATTGTAACACGTTTTAGTTTTATACATTTTAAAATCTATACAATTCAAATTTCAATTGACCTTCCTTTATTTTTATAGTTAATTTAATGTTCAATTATTGAACTATGTTGTAAAGCACTTAATATGATTGGCTAACAAAAAATGTTAATCGTATACCTATCGTTGATATTATTTTTAAATGTTGGAAATTTTGATGTTTGTGTGTTTTTGTTTTCGTTTTTTATTTTGTTTTGTTTTGTTTTTTTTGGGGTGGGTGGGTGGGGGGTGGGGGGGGTGTTTTTGTTTGTTTCTGTGTATATTTTTTTAAAAGAAAAATCCTTATTTTCTTCACTTGCTATTGATAGTAGAAGAATGAATTATAAGGAATGAATTTAATGGATACCCAATTTATAACCATAGCTTGACTAGTCTACACTTGATTATATAAATTGGTTTGCGGTTTATGAAGTGTAAACTCTTCCAAACCAGAACAAACCAGAATATAATTAAACTTGGGCAACTTTTAATTTCATTCCTTAAATTAAAATGTAGTCTTTAGAGTCCACTCATACATATCTATGTGCTTATGATAAAAAAGGGTACTTGTATCAATTTATCGTCAACACTCAGAAAAGATCAAATAATCTAACTTTATTCTGTTTTATTCCGTGTCTGGCTCCTCTGGTCAACAAAGTGGCGATAAACGATCACAAAGCCTCTCCTAATTTTAATAACAGCCCTCGAAGATGAATGTAATTAATTGATCATATAAAGAATTTAAAATATTTGTTTAAGGGCCATTCTCCAACAAAACACCTCAGCATTTACGCAATCTCCGTACACAAGTCCTCTCATTCACTATTTTTCGTTATAAGAAGTACGTCGTTCAAACACTACTTTTAAAGCTTTCAAAAAGGCTGACAATTTTATTACAAGTTTCATTGCATTATACAACCTTTTGAAAGAGATTTAATTTGGTTGCTTGACGTTGGTTATTCTGAAAGATTTCAGCTAGTATTTTATTATGTCAATATTTCTTCTGCTGTCAATTGGTTTACTGCATAGAATGTTTTGCGTTTGCCATATTTATCAGCTTAATTCAAATTCATCTTTTTTTCTATCCTCTTTTTGCATCTATGAAAAACACAAGTCATTTTTCATCTTTGGTAATGTTGCAGATGATCTGTCGAAATTGTAAATGATACCCGAGACCCATAAAAATTGATTATTTTGACATATTTTAATTAAAAAAATTATCTTCTTCCGGCAAGGCATGGGTACGCTTATTTTCAGTATTGTGTAAAATTAAACAAAATAACAATTACAGATAATTCTGTAGTCAAAAGATCAGACATTGATTAAACTACAAACAATTTAGCTGTTCTCTGATTGCAATTGCTCTGGCCTTGAATTTAACGTAATGTCAATTATAATTTGGATACTTTATTTATTGATTGATTTATTTCAGAATGGCTGTATGTGGGAATCGGAGTGATTTCATTTATTGGTCTCATTCTCCTGCTGATCTTACTTTTACTGTTCCTGAAATATTGCTTACGTCTTTGCAGGTAAAGCATTAATTTTACCTTTGGAGTGTTTTTTTTTTCAAGGGAGTATCCATGATCTTGTATATTCATAAAAAAATAGTATCATTATATGAATGAGAAATATGTTTTTGTTTTTAACAAAACCCAAGGGTCACAAAGCTCACCTGAGTCTCCTCGGAACAGTGGCCCCTAGCACCAGGGACCATAAATTGAACAAACTTGGATCTACACTATTTTAAGGATGCTTGCATAATGATTTATCATCATGATGACAATGTAACAATTGTTCTTTACAGGATTTTTTTTTTTTAATTTATTTTATTTTATTCTCTATTGTGTCCCCTCCTTATCCACGGCAATCAAAAACTTAAATCTACACGATCTGACATTTTCATATTAATATCCTAATCATGGACCTTTTAATCATGAAAGGAAGATTTTATATGATTTTTCCTATATATTACCTTGCAAAACTTTGATACCCTATTATGGCCCACCCTATTCCCCAGGGACATGATTTGAACGAACTTTATAACCTGCACTGCATAAAGATGCTTGCATATTAATATCACTAATAATTGCACTGCTATACTGGAGAAGAAAACACTTAAACATATATATATATATATATATATATATATATATATATATATATATATATATATATATATATATATATATATATATATATATATATATATATATATTCCCATGTTAAACTTTAATTTGAATCCCTATAGTGGCCTCACCGTATCCACCGGAGGCCATATGTGAATACATTTGAATTGAATCAGTACTACCTATAAAACCTTGCATATTAATACATGTATCACTAATCATAGTCCTGCCATTCTTGAGAAAAAGATTTTTAAAGAAATTTCTTATATATTCCCATATAAAACTTTGATCCCCAATTGGGCCCCTCTATCTCCGAGGTTGCCATGATTGAACAAACTATAGTCTTCGCTACCTGGGGTTACTTGCAAATTAATATCACTAGTAATGGTGGTCCTGTTGTACTCTTGAGGAATACTTTTAAGCATATGTTTTTTGATATTAAAATGTTAAACTTCAATCCGCTATTTGGACCCTACTCTGTCCCCGAGGGCATTGATTTTAACAAACTTGAATCTGCACTACCTGGCGATGCTTGCAAATTCTGAAATATCACTAATCATTGTGCAGCTGTTCTTGAGAATATTAAGATATTTAAGGATTTTTTCCCTGTATTTTTTCTATGTATAACTTTCATTTTCTATTGTGACCCTGTCCTACCCCCGGGTATCAAGATTTGAACAAAATTAATCTAAATCTACACTATGTATTGAGGTTTTAACTTTCATCTTTTCTGACCTTAAGCTAGCGGATCTTGAGAAGATGCCGCTAATTTTTCAATAGATCTTATTTATCTCCCGTTGATTGAGGGCATGGCCCTTCATTTGAACAAATTTAAATTCCCTTCACTTAAGAACTATTTGAACCAAGTTTGGTTAAAATTGACCCAGTGGTTTTGGAGAAGAAGATGAAATTGTGAAAAGCTCTTCACAACGACAACGACTACAACGACAACAACAAGAGACAACAGAAAAATGTCGATCAGAAAAGCTCACTTGAGCCGTCAGCTCAAGTGAGCTAAAAATCATCCTTTTATAGACTTGATAAGTGTTTTTCAGTTATCTATATATACTGTGATTGTAGGAAATGGTCACGCGTGAGTGCACTCCATGGAATCAATGAACAGGTAGAGATCGGCTGCTGTTACGCTTGCTGCACTAGATGTTGTCTCAAGTGCTGGTCGTGCTGTCAGGAAAGCGGTGACGTCATAAACGAGACAGGAACAAAATCGAAAGCAAAACAAGTTCCCAAACAGAACTATACCTCGTCAAATTCAAATTCGGTATCGGTGATTTCAGAAGAAACCGTGGAAACATCGGTAACACCATCCTTGATTAAAAGAGAAGTGAAGCCGGCCAGAGAATTAAACACATGGATGCCACACACCCATGGAGTTAGAAACAACAACACCAGTACCAAATAATGGGATGTGTTATTTATACATTAAATTGTATGAAAGAACTGCCCCTGAAAGCAAACTGATTTTTTAAACAAAGAACAAGGTGTTACTTCACTTTTTTTTTTATTTCTTGTTTAAAATTTTGCTTATTCGCAAATACACGTATTGCATATTGACGACATAACTTAAAGATTATGTGAAGTTTCTCCTAACGGGGATTGTGTACTTAAATTATAGGGTAGAAATGTAAATAGTGTAATAGGCTACACATCTGTACTGTACTGTATTTGTGCCAAAAAATATACTGTGATAAAGATTTGCTTTGAGAATTTTTATTTATTAGCAATTACTTTGTTAATTTCTTTTTATTGAGATGTTAATCAAATAAATGTATATCACTATAATTGCTGCATTATTAATTAATACCTGTAAAATAGAAATGTTTTAAAATATTTCTGAAGTAAAGGCATGCAAAGATATGCAAAACATGGAAATTATATTCAAAATACATATACATGAATAAGGCATTATCGGGTCGCGTTCTTAATAGTTTGCCACAATGGGTGGTCTTTGGGTGATCTAAAATGGTGTCTCTTCTTTCGAATTCTTTTAATAAATATACATATTCTGTAATGATTAACGGCATTAGGTAAGGTGATGCTAGGATTTTCTCCTTAAATAAATGTGTCATTTAATAGATTTTATTCATTGCAAGATTAGTTTTTTAAGCAAGCTGGATAAAATGTCAACACCGGTTAACTTTCATGTATTGATATTCAAAACGATTGTTCAAGAATTAATTGCATGACATGACTCTCTAATGTATGTTTTATTGAAGAAAAAAATGCTTTCAAGACAGAGGTCGATGTCAACAATGCAATTTCAATGTCTGTTATCACGTAAACTAATCGTGTTGCTTGAATACATACATGCACGTACATCATCACAAATCTTGAAATATCTATTTGAAAATTGTCATAAATTATCACCTCTTTTCTTTTCAGAAAGCTTTATTTTAAATATTTGAGATGTTGGGAGGCTCCATTTAATCGTAATATGGACAGCGAAAATACAGGTAGTGAAGAGGAGTCCAAACAAATGCTTCTTAATTTGATTTCAAAATCATAAAATCGATGTACTTTCTTAAAGGGTTATCAAAAGACAGCGAGCGATCGGATGAGTGCTGTGTTATTAAAACTGGTATATTAAATATTTAATTTGTCTCCCGTATGACCGTTTAAGTTAAACTGGACAAAAAATTTCAGTCAGTCTGGAGAATTGACCGTTTTGAAACTTCACAGCAGCGCTATTTATCGATCCAAATGTTGTTGTAATTGTAGCCATTCGTTTATTTGTTTTAGAATACGGATACCAACTATAAATACACATGAAAAAAATATTTCTCAAAAAATAATTTTGCTATAATTGTAAATTGTTTCAAATAAATTTCGTATTTGAAGGTGTATAAAGTCCCAATTAATTGCACACATTTACACATGGTGTATAAATTTTACACTTACGCAGATTTTGCATCCGGGTGTATTTTGGCCCGTGTAAAGAGGGGGCAAGATTTGCACATGAATATTGTTACTCCTAGTGCAAAATAAACATCTAGTCTGACTAGGAGCAAATTAACTTTCACATGCAAGTAAATTCACAGCAATGTGAACGTGTAGCAAAATTTACTCACATAAGCAGATATTAAAATTGTCTATTTTGTTGTTGCTTTATGTTGTTAAAATTCGAAAATTTGGTACATTAGAAGGAACAGCGTTCTTTTGCTGTGTTTCTAAGATCAAATATTTTATGCAGCATTGAACAAGAAGTGGCGAGGAGAAGGGCGTGTAAAATTTACACCTGCACAAATGTACACTATAGCGCATGTGAACGGGCCTTATATATAATGATTAAAAATCTTCTAAATTAATTTCTCAAAAACAGACGGTGATTGAATCTTTTTGCAGTTAATAGAAAAAGGTCAAGAAAGGATCCACATTTATAACAATTCATTAAATACATGTATACTGTTAAACACCACGTCCAAACAATTAACGGACCCTCTGCAATTTTAATCAAACACTTTTATGACGCAATGAAGTACCCACTGGCAATTATTATATGAATATATAAGTAGTTTCTATATAAACATTTTTCGGTCTCTCAAATTTATTTAACACTTCGGTAGCCAGATTAGGCATATGGTAGAGTGTTTAACGTTTGAATTATTTTCCTCGCAGACATTATATCAACAGAATATTGAAAAGTAGCGCCATTATACGTCGGATAAAGGGAATGAGATCGCGTGTACAGATTGATTATAATTATAAAAGTATATTATTCAAATTTACGAACACCAGGTAGAGTGATTTCTTGACATATTCCAGCAATTTTATCTTGTTTTATAGAGGTAAATCTCAACATGATTTATAAAAGACTGAGTTCCCCTAACTGAATGTTGCTAACATTAAACCACTGAAGTATGAAACTTGTAGAAACACTTAAGAAACTTCTAGAGGCCCTTGAAGTTCTATAAAGATTAGGAAGGACTTTTTTTAAATACGTCCTTGTAAACAAACTATTACAAATAAAGACATTGTTTTGAATTCACTGAAAGTCGAATTATTTAAGTCAATTGGCTTGGTCATCTGTACTAATTATGTAATTTAAAGGTTCAAATTAATTGTAAAAAGACATCATGTGAATAACGTAATCAAGATTGAAACTGAATCTTGTTTTTTCAGTCTGTTCCTAAATACCATTCGAATATTTTCAAGTTTAACAGATATCTTAGTGCCTTTATGGAATATATTTCAGTGATATCGACCGCTTTATGATAAATATACAATCAAACAAATAGGTAGACTCTCTAAGTTATTAATGAATTTCACACATTGTTGCCTCTGATACCATAGGTGGTCATCTCTCTCTCTCTCTCTCTCTCTCTCTCTCTCTCTCTCTCTCTCTCGCAGGTCTAATTTTCGTCATCTTTAAGCGTAAGTTTGTTTGAGTAGACTGTATTTGTATATTTGAATTTAACAGTGAAGTACCACACACATAAGGAATACCAGTAAATTAAGAGAAGTAAGCAATATTCTCCAACTAAATGTAGTACTTTATAAACTTTGATTTTTTTAACATAAAAGTTAAACAAGTCACTTCAAAAGAATATTCTCAATGTGCAGTGTTTGCTTCTATTTGTATGTCCTGCTCTTAACATGTCTCTTTTAGCGGTTATAATGTTATTTGCAATATCCTTCAGAGATAACACTTCCAGAGAAAATACTGCAGACATTTTATTAACAAGTTTGTCCCCAATAGCCTTGAACAATTTCAAGTTCACATATCAACAAACAGAATGACACTTATAGACGTCTTCTCATTAGTTTTGCCCGGGTTTATGTTGCCGTAGAATCGAAGGATTATGTAGGGATTACGTTAACACGTTTTTGAGAGACTTTTCAATAGCGGACTACTTATGATATCAGAGACGGCACTATGTGAAATTCAATAATAACACACATCTATTTTATTTAATTGTTGAATGAATATCTCTCTGAAACAAGCCTGGCATTTTGCGGTTGATAATATGTCAAATGACCTGATATATTGTATATGGTTCATCAGCATTAGAACCTCCTCTTGCGTATGTGTACAATATCCATTTATTGAGCCTACGTTTTTTCATTGTGAATAAGATATTTATTAATATTACAGACCCTCTGAAAGGAATTGTAACTCTTAAAAACTGTTTAACACACTAAGTGGCTATGGATTAACTTGATTACGAATGTAAATCACGTCTGAACATCCTTACAAAAAAGGACTGAGCAAATCCTAATTCTTTTTAAAAAAAATATTTTATTTTAAAGAGTCAAGCGTCGAACTTCGAAATAATAATCAGTGCAGGAATTCAAAGGCAGTTTCCATACGATTACAGAAAATTAATGCAATGTATATCCAAATACCAGCTACTACAATTTATTTAATTTTGTTTAAGATATAAAAATATATTTAACGGGAAACTTCAACACAGTCAGCATATGATATCCATTAGTGCACTATAGTTATTCGGGGTATTTATTATGAAACATCTATAAAACTGTTGAATCCAAACAAATTATTTTTCAAATTTTCTACGAGGGCATGAAGTACATGTTAAAAAATATAAATTTAAAAATAACTTGTACAAATGGAAAAAAAAAAATTTCTTGCTTTATACGTAAAAGAATGCCTTAGATAAGAAATATATAAAATATAACCTCGACTGGCTTTACTACTGAATGTTTTATTCTACTAGTGGAAGAAAATAAATCAATGTATCCTTTGATAAGCAAAAATTTGTAACCGACTTGCAATGTCTGTACCTTTCCCTTAAATTAATTCTATATCCATCCTATTATCGGATAGTCGGTGTAAATTGTAACAACAGTCTACCATTCAAAGTAATGCAAGGTTATACATGTATGACCCCGGCCTTAATTAACGCATTCATCAACTTTAATTAACCATACTACGTAACATAAAGATATACATTTAAAGTTATTAAGATATAGGTCGCAAGTCTTTAATGCATTGTCATAATGTCCATATCTAAATTCTTATGAAACCTATTCAAACGAACATCGTACTATCAAGTACATTCGTTCTGATCACATTTCACGTTCTGTGTTCAACTTATTTCATGACTTTGAAATGCACTTTCACTGGATGTTCTTTACTAACTGAACCGTGTCCGTCATGTCTGCCTATAACTGTTCTGATCCTAGTTCTGCAAGCAATGGATATTTTGTGATTGCTAAGCCTTATTACGTGGATGGAGACCGGGTATACTACTATTGTGAGTATTCCTACTTCTTACAAGGGAACCCCATCAGAGAGTGTGATGGAGATACCGGAAACTGGACCGGGAAAGCCCCCACCTGTACGACAACCACTACCACTACGACCACTACTACAGCGGCTCCGGTAAATGGTAAAGTGTCATTAGTAAATTTAAAAAGTAAATATTATGTGAATAAAAGTATCAAACCTTCAAAAAGGCTTTTATTAAAAATTCTGCACATTTTACACGTAATCAGGAGATATTTTACGGAATGAATTTGTCCGTCAAATTCTAATTCTGGGCCAACGGTGAGTTGAACCCAGCTGATTCATAAAACCTCCAATAAGCCAACACGCGTTATAGTTTTAGTACTTTTATATAGAATCAGCATGGAATATACTTTTACACGAGTTTGGGATGTATCAGCACCGAAGGTCTGATTCCAACTGACTATAAATTTTCACAACAAAACATACATATTGAACAATGATAGAACAAAATAAAAGGATTAACAAAGAGTATTAAGAAATCAAGTATTAAACAATTATTGAGCGAATGATGACATTTTAGCGGCATGTATATAATAGAATTAAAGTAGATGAAAGATTAAGTGTCAATAAATATAAATAGAAGTCAACTAAGGGATTAAGTGTTCATCTCTGACTGTGCCTCGGGTAGGATTAACGATATGTAGAATTTATAGAATTTATCATATTTGCCGAAATATACGAAAAAAATTTATTACAATTTACACGAAGTCCGAAAAGTTAATTATCACAGTAATTTATAAGTCCGAAAAGTCGTATTTTACACAGTAACAGATACATGTACACGTAAAAGGTGTCTTTATTACAGCAAAAGATTAGATCTGGATATAGCCCACTAATTATTTTCCATAAGCGACAATGTTAACGTTTTATCATATAACTTCATCCCTAATTTTCGCTTAACAATGAGAAACCCTCAAAGAAAGCTTACCGTCTTGCATCTCACTGGTGAAAACCTCGAGGTGGCATCTCAGATTAGTTTTCCGGCAAAATGCACTTGTTTGCAAAAACATTTGAAAATAAAACTAAAAGAAGGGATTTTCAAAATTTCAGGGTATGCACATATTAATCAACTCAATTTCTTTCTTTTAAATATCGATACAACTGGAAAAGGTTTTCAAAGTGCAATTTTATCTCCTTTTACATGTATATATACAAAATGTATATCAACCATTTTTATTCTTTAGGCGACCTATACTTATTTTATATACCGTTTTAAGTTCGGGAATTTCGTTTTAATTAATAATGTGTTACTTTCTTCCCCTACCGATTCTAAAAATGATTAGAGGTATGTACAAATACCAATCTATTATAATTATATTTTGATAATACTATTACTAGTTTTACTGTGGCTATATTTTTTTTTTCAGAGTGGTTATACATGTCCATTGGTCTTTCCTCCTTCCTGTCGGTGATTTTTGTGTGTATTGTATCCCTGGTTATTCTTAAATATTGCCACATACTATGCAGGTAAGAATCAACCTTGATTCTTATACTTATTCTCCTTGTTGAAATATGTCACAGTCTTATATGAAACAAGCATTCTGAGAGTATTGCATTAGCAATACTAGTCCCCTACCGGCAAGTGTAATCTGGTTCCCCTTAAGAATTGAAAATGTCATATCTCCGTCAAAAATCAATGATGCGGAACGAAATGCAAACTTGATCTATAACTAATCAAGGTAAAGTCACATACCAAAAATCAGCTCAATATCTGAAAGCGTTCAGAAGAAAATTGCGGAAAACTCTTAAAAATTGAAAAGGCCATAATTCCGTCAAAAATCAATGAAGCGGAACGAAATGCAAACTTGATCTGTAACTCATCAAGATACACTCACATGCCAAAAATCAGCTCAATATCTGCAAGCGTTTAGGAAAAAAGTTCGGAAAACCAAGTGGGACAGACTGACAGACAGACAGAGGGACAGACAGACAGACGGACGGACAGACGGACGGACAGACTCAGAGGAAACCTATAGTCCCCTCCGGTTTCACCGGTAGGGGACTAATAAATGGCAAGGTCACAATAAAGTAATAAGCCATTGCAACATGATTATATCGGGTGATTTTTATGCATTCCAGATTGAATATGGGAATATTAATTATTTATTTAACAATTTCTAAATAGGCAGAAAACACGAGTTAGAGACGACGAAGAGGAAGTTGAGACCGGATGTTGTTATACCTGTTGTCTTCACTGTTGCACTCTGGGATGTCGTAGATGTTACCCAAACAATAACATTACTTCCCAACCTGCCCCTGAATTACCCATTCAGTCCCCTGAACAATCACCTAAACCCAGTGTGAAATCCATGAGTATGCAGACAGAGAGCCCAGTGCGTTTACAATTACAGGAGGTAGTGTCATCAAAGAGAGTGGCAAAGGAACTGAAAAATTACTGGAAACCTCATAAACACGATATCCGGCCAAATAATCAAAGTACAAACTGACACCAGTGTCTACATTACATCATTACAAAATTTCCCATGTGTTGATCCGAAACCTCACAGAAATGATGTTGAGTCAAGCGTGTGTATCTACTGATAACCAAAAAAGAAACTGGTGCATTTTTGAACATCAAAATTTCGTTCAGCAGTATGGGATAAATAATTTTTCATCTATTGTTTTAAGATGTTTTTGGAGGTCGAAGATTTAGAGGGATTGTTAAAAATATGTATCAATTCCCTGGTTTCCAACATCATGATGATATAGATATATTTACAGATATTCAACATGCATTGTTGTCTAACTGTTGTTCCTTGAATCACATACATGTACTAGACGAAGTATATTTCTTTCAGTATTTAAACCGCCATCAATTGAAAGAAAGATAGAAGTATGTTATATTTCTGCAATTTCCAGTGCAGAGTTGTTCTTGGTTCCTTAGGATTGTGGTAGCGTCAAGATTTTTGAAAGGGAAAAAGGAGGATTCAAAGGATCCAATAAAATTGAATTAAAAATTCTAGATATTTTTAAAATCTCTTCCTTAAATGGACAATAGAAAAATAACAGTTACTATCTACTAATTATTAATTAAAACAGACACACTATTTAATGTGTTTTCTGTAGTGATGTTAGCCAGCCACGGACAGAGATGATTGTATGGGACGATGATGGTGAGTGGTATTTCTTTTTCTGTGTTTTATTTATTTTATTTGAAACATTTAGGAATTGTACTAAGGGCAGCAAATTTATTATAAATTTGAAGTCATGTGTAATAAAGATGTATGACAATTAGGCTCTTTTAGACTCTTCGAAGGGAGAAACTATCTCAAGTTTACCGAAAATGTTGACACTCATGCATTAAAGATTTTTAAAGAAATATTAGAAACACGGAAACAGAAACATCATTCTTTATCATCTGCTTATACATTCATTTCTGTCAGTGTTTTGAACATATTTTATTATGTAATAAATACATAACTGGATTGGGCAGCAGGCATTTTAGTGTCTGGCTAACATTACTATGATAAGCACAATAAATATTGTGTCTGTTTTAATACATTATTATTAAACGATGTATAACATCATGATGAAGATGCCACGGAATCTAATAAGATTTTACGTTATGACGAAGAAAGATAACTCATCAATTTGTACGTCGATTCATGTATTTGGAAAGACTACAAAACAATTCCTTTTCTAAGCATTATCCAGTTTCTGTTTTTATTTCTGTTTGTATCATTACACCATTATATACATATTGTTCAGCAAATATTTGATTATTTAAACTTTTAATTATATGTTTTATTTTGCATGAGATGAATGCATTTCCAATGAATTAAAGAGCTATTTTTCCTTCTCTTTTCTTATTGCTGGTTTCCCGTCCAAACGTCTCTGTTTTGCAATGCTACCTTTCTTATCACACTACAAGGAGCCATATCACGTAAAATACATAATCATCTTTATTCAAAATTTATCAGATCCTTCTTAATTTTGTAACTCTTGTGCATTGCTGGGATGAAAATTTTAATTGCAAGTCTTTTTGAATTCTGTATTTGATATTATATAATCCTTCCTATCAGTTTAGGGAAAGAACTCTGAGGCGTTGCCTAATTTGACAATGCTTTTTGTATATCCCAAATCAAAATTCTAATACAGTATCAATTATTAATTATATGTTAAGATTTTTAACAATAAACTTAGATTAAGAATTAGATTTTCAACACGTTTAAGCAAAACGAAAGTTGTCTCAGATTTCAAAACGAGAATTAATCAAGCTTTAATTTTTGAATTTTCAATTCAACGCTGTTACATAAAATATATCGATAAGAAACGGAATTCAAAGTTTCATTTTTACAAAAAAAAAAAAAAAAAAAAAAAACCCAAAAAAACAAACAAACAAACAAACAAAACAAAAAACACCCACTTCCTTATCGCCGAAGTTCGAAATATACATGTACATTATAAGTCAACATATGTCAAAAATTAATATACGACGTGTAATTATAAATAAAAGCAACTTAAATGCAGAAGAAATGTAGCGAATATGAAAGAAGAAATTAATCACTTGATAAAAATCACTTATATGAACAGGTTAAGAACCCTATGTAAACATGAATGACATGCGCTTGGTAATTATTGTGTGTGTGAATCAACCATTTAAAAAATCCTCTAAGAGATAACATCAACATGTGTGAACTGCTAGTAATTAAACTGTCGTACTTTGCGACGCCATGATATAACAATATCTAAATAAACAAAGAATAATGATGGCGCTCCCCTGCTCAGCTCCACCATCTGTTTCTAATGGATTCTATGTGATTGCAAAAGGAACCTACCAGAATGGTGATCAGATAGCGTATTATTGTAAGATGGGGTATGAACTGGATGGGACTCAGACCAGATCGTGTGATGGTTCTTCTGGGGCCTGGGACGGGGCAACCCCAAAATGCACAAAGGTGACAACAACAACTATCATTACAACAACAACAACAGCGCCTACTTCCCAAATATCAGGTTTGTGAATTTATAGCAGACATTTAATTTTCATATCAATAAATGATTTGTGAGTTTGGAAATTTGGCCATATGATGTAACAATAGGATCTAGTCGACAAAATAAGATGAAATAGGAGTAAGAAAAGGGGTGTGTGCTAACTAGAAAGCAAACCACTCTATGATGTTTTTACAATATATATACATATGCTATTCGAAGAGACGTTGAACACACCCATAGAATCGTCTGTCAGCAATGTTTAAATAGCAAAAATAAATAAATAAAAATAAAATTATACTTATCCTCACAGGAAGTGGCATATCAGCCTTTAAATGAGAATTGAAACTAAGAAAAAAAATCACTTTTTCCACTAAAATACAGGAAAGGAATCAATCTTTTTATAGCACATACAAAGCATTTATTTGGCAATTTTAGAGAAATAATAAACATCGAAAATCAATAAACTAAATTTTAATGTTTTGTGTAAATGTGTTTATCAATGTGTTCGATTTGAGGTTAAGCAATGAAAAGTTTACATGTAAACATCACAGTCACAGTAGTATTCTTTTCGATGCCAAAAAACCAATCCCGTTTTATAAATTGACATTGACAACACTTTAAAAAAAAAAAAAATTGTGACTGAATTTGTTGTACTGCTTGTTGCATGCATAGATTTAAGTTTTCCCAGATGCTTTATTATTAAACTCACTACAGAGAATTTTGGCTGCTGTAAAGTTAACAAATTAAAAAAAATAATTTTTATGTTTCAGTGTCAATTCTGGTGCTGATTCCCTTTCTGCTGTTGCTTCTATCCCTGATAAGTTTAGGTACATGGTACATTATAAAGCGATGTTACTGTGCGAAAGGCTGCAAGTAAGGCTATAGCAATGATATCTTTTGTATAAATCCTAAAACAAGAGCTGTTAATGTATATATAGCAGGTTTGAATTGATTAATTTGATACTTGAAGGTTTTTCCTTTGTTGATGATGATGAATCTTAACATAAGAACTGAAATTTTTCTTTTCCTATTGTAATTGATGTACTATTGGGTCCTTTTCCTTATGTAATTGATGTACTAACTATTGGATCCTTTTCCTAATATAATTGATGTACTAACTATTGTTTACGCAAGTATTCTCCTTTTTTGTTTTATTCATATCATTTTACAATGGACCTTTTCAGAAAACAATCATTTTGGATAGATGGTGACGATCACGTGCAATATGGTTATTGGTATGGAGGCTGTAATACCTGTTGCCATTACTTATACGCGTACATTACGTGTCAAAGGTGCAAGAAAGCCCAACTTTCACAAAATCTTAATGGTGATGTTTGGAGTTTAAGGAATGGCGGATTGTGGTCGTCTCAGAATGGCAGGAAGTCGGCTTCTTCCAGAGTGTTTTCTAGTTCAATATGGAGTTCAACAAGAAGCACTAAAAGTGAATCCCCATGGAAACCAAATCTTGATTCCGTACCGGAGAAATCGCAAACAACAATATCTGATCTTTAATTCCTTGATAGATCTAAGCAATTATTAATCGTTATTGTCTTCCAAAACAACAAGAAAGATGATGCTTATATTGTAAGAATACGCAAGAATTCATTGATGTTCCACAAATAATTTTAATTTTATTGCTCCAGTCCACCAATGTTTTGATAACCCCTCGAATGCACATATTTCTGCGTTCATATACTAGAACAGATTCTTACATAACATGCATACTGAAAAATCACGTCAAACACTATAAATTTATCTTTACTTGGAAAATTCCCATGTCAAAGTACACCCATTTCCATTCATTGGAAAAGGTATTGTAAAAAAAAAAAAGTAAAACAATCCCTTTCTAACTCAGCATTAAACATACTGTCACTTTATCGTGTGCAATTTGGGCACATATATTTCCTACCGCTTATACGGCCAGGGAAAAAATAACTACATTGTATTAAGTGAGAAACATCATTGGTAATTGCTTTAGAGACAACAAAATTATACAAATAAAACAATTAAATATACAATTCAAAGTTACTAGAGGCAATACACAAAATATTCAACTTATCTACAGTATATGACATCAAATCATTGATATAAATGCGCATTACTGTTACAAGTCTTACATAAAATGTGAAGATTACAGCAATCATGCTCCAAAAGTTCATTTAAACTTTACAAATTGTGAGCAGAGCAAACACAGACCTCTGAAAACAGAGGTGGAATCAGGTGTCATATAGGAGTAAGCATCCCCTGTCAACCGGTCATACCCTCTGTTTGCTCCTTGTCATGTGTGGGTTTTCTGGAAAATCCGTAGACAATACAGTGTGAAAAAAATTAATGACCTGTCAATTGGTCTCTAATTTATTTTGGGGAAAGATTGTAAAGTTTCGTAAAATCGTACGTATTGATTTTGGTAAACTTTGTGATAAAAGTTTTATCTGCATTTAATTAATACAACTTCTCGATTATGTTGTTGTACAGTACTCCTTCACCTTCACTAATGTTAATATTTTCGTAAAGAGTAAGGAATGAGCCTTAATTGGTAGAACATTTACTAGATTCGCTATCTAACTTTCTTTGGAAAGATTTTTATGAAATTAAGGAATCCAGTATAGGGAAAGTAATTTAAATTCAGGTGCAACTGAAATGATTTTCCATAACTAATTATTTCAATTTGGAAGTTCTCAATCTATTTTTAGTCTAATATAGAAAAGAAAATCTTATCTTCACCTTGGAGGTCCCGTGAAGGTGAACATAACGTATTATTTTTTCTACAATGTTGGATTTCTGTCAATCAGAGAGCTAGGAATTAATTAATCATATAATAATAACTGAACGCATTGTCTTTTAAAGGCGTTCTCGTAAACTTTTCAAAAAATTAATCTTCTCCTCAAGAACTCTTATCCAATTTCAACTTGACACAACGTATCTTTCGGTGAAGGGAATTCAACTTTGTTCAAATGAAATCAAAAAATATGAATTAAGATCAAAAAGAAGTAAGCATATAAAACTTAAGTGGTGAAAAATTCATGAACAATTAGCAAGACAGGTTTGAATATTCATATTTTACTACCTCGTCAATTTTTAAATATTTTCTACAATTAACATTTATCTGTTCAAAAGGATGATCAAAATGTTTTTATATTGTATGCGTAGTTTCAAAATTCTGTGAAGTTATAAAACAAAAAAAAGTCCCCCGTCTAGAAATATCAATTAATTTGTCGAAATTTTATCTTATATAATCAACTGCATCGATTTCCTTTGAATAATATTATTAAGAGAACAGAAAACACATCTACATTTACCCTTGTTAAATATTTTTGTTGGACTGCAAAAACTTGATACCATTCTATTTTTACAACTCATGTTTCTTTTTGAATTAAATTGAACGTGTTATAAACTGAGAAGTAATCAATATAAACATAATTACCACCATTAATAAATGAATTGATTAATATTTTAATATTATGAAACTACGAATTAGTAAATTAATGAACTAAGCTTCTTAAAACTAGTTTATTTATCATAAAAGTAAATGCAGCAAACCCCCTTTAACCAATGATTTCCGGTACAGTGCTGAAAAAACAAAAACACAAATTATTTTTTTTTTTAATTCTGAAGTCAGATAAGACAAAATTTCGTTTTTATTTTTGATATTGTTACAGATAGATGTGTATATATGCTTTCAAATATGAATGAACTGTATTATAATGAAGGATGAAATCAGTAGCCTTCATAAAACAATTCGGTCACAGGAGGATGAGAAATTTTACCGAGCTGCTTAGAATATTACTTATCACAGGAACATGTAGCTAGTTAATTGTTTTCAATGTTTGTTTATAGATTTCTGTAAACTGTTTTCGTTAACATCACAAATAAAATTTTAGCTCTGAAAAGAGGAAATCTATCAGGACAAAATTTTTAACTTTCGTTCAAAATTTGTTTTCTATATTGTGTTTACCAAGCAATAAAATTTTCTTGTGAAATTATTAATGTATTATTCTTAGTAGAAGTATTATTATTATTATTAGTAGTAGTAGTAGTAGTAGCAGTAGCAGTAGTAGTGGACTTTTGCGAGAAGCACCTACTTTTACACTCGACGGCTTACTTTGACATTTAAACATGTGCTATGTACGGAGGTACGGAATTGATATTAGATAAGAAAACCTTACTAGTGGTCATAGGTATGGTGTTCGGGGCACTTACATGATTTACTGGTATCCAATTAACACAAGAGATGATGGGAGGTAGAATAACATAACTTAAAATACCTTATTCGTAAGGGGTAGTATTTCCTTTCAATCTTATTTTATGAAGGAATGAAATAAGGAAGGAAAAAAAACATTCCGAAATCAAAACTTACAGTCGTTGGTCAAATGGGAAGGTAGGGGGTTAGTATAGGGTGTTTCTCCTTCCCCTCCCTAGACAACGTAATATGTGCTTTGAAATGCCCAATTATTATCGTTTAATTAACTGTTTAGCTAAATATTTATTTATTTCACAAAAGAGCTGCCGTATATAGTCCCAGTGTAAAAGTATATTTTCTATAGAAAGACATAAAAGTCCAGTGGTGGTGGTAGTAGTAGTAGTAGTAGTAGCAGTAGTAGTAATAGTAGTAAAAGAAGAAGTAATAGTAGAAGTAGTAGTTGTTGTTGTAGTTGTAGTAACAACAGTTGTAGTAAATATGTAACAGTTGTAGTGATTGTTGTACATGTAGTAAAATAGTGGTAGTAGTAGTAGTAGTATAAGTAATAGTTGTAGTAATAGTAGAAGAAGTGGTAAAGAAATCAATACTTACATGACATTGTACATTTATATGACTATGTACAAGGAATTTTCAACAAGTTCGTGGACTGATGCGATAAAATTAAATTAAATACTAAGTAGTCGTTGATTACAAAATTTATAAGGAACATAAAACAACAAAAAGTTAGGACGTGTTAAAAGTTTCAGCTTGATACGTTGATGATTTGCCAAATTATCATTAAATAAAAAAAACATTGTATGATCACCCGGCGCTGTAGCCGTTAAGTTTCATAACGTCCGACAAAGTCAATATTTTTCAATGCTCGTTCCCTCTGCCTCAATACACTTATCTTGATGGGATTCACTGGAGTAAAGTAAAGATTTAAACCCGTCTTGGTTATATGACTTTAAAATGTCAGATAAACATTTCAATGCATATAATATTGTAAATGGATTTAATCATAGGGAAAAATCCTCGCTTGATTATTCCAGCATAATTTTCTTGTCGGAGTTCGATGTCTACCACACATGATCAGCGTCACTTTTTTTACGTGACTGACTTTGGACACCCTGACTGCAAATCGACATAAACTGCTCGTCTCTTCCTTCTCTGATTCTTTTTTGGCAATTAAAAACAAGCATTTTGGATGCCAGTTTTTCCAGGGGGTTAAACTTTATACAATGTTGAAATAAAGACACCTCCCCCCTTTTGACGTCGTTTTAACCTCATAGTTGTTTAGACATTCCATATAAAATATAAAATTTCATAGATCTTAGAGAATGAGGTTAAATTGCAACTTTTATTGAACAATTGTGTCATATCATATGAGTGAACTATACAATTAATATTATATATATTTAGGCTTATTAGTCCTTGGTATTTACTTCCATTTAAATGCACGAAAATTTGAATACGTTGAAATAAGTTCACATGGCTAATGATTAGTCTAGTTTGATGTTTTGAATGTGATGAAAGAATGCAAAAATTATTCTTATTTACTTACATTAAAAATACAATCAGGAAACTTTATCTCTGGAAATAAATAGAAATCTTACTCTAAACTGTATTCGCAGATGAAATAATAAGAAAGATGACAAGGAGCATCTGTCCATTGTCCGTGAAAAGTAGTGCTAGAATCAATAGCAGCGCAGTCCTCTTCATGATAGTTATCTGGTCCTCCTCCCACCCAGGGAATGTGTATTTTCACTGGAGACTTTCTGGAGGCGTAGACCCATTCACCCTCCAGAAAAGCATCCGTCACGCCTAAGTGGTAATGTCCACCATTTCCTGTAATGTGACATTTAATACGTATTACATGTAAGCTATCGTTAACATCACGGCTGTAATTAGATTTCATTTTTTTTTCAAAATTCGTTAAAAAGTGACACACTTAAATCTGATCTATAATATGTGCAAGTCAGCATAACAATAATGTAATCTGAAATATTAATGTACTATGCGAATAAAATTGCTTTCAACTGTCCAATCTTTTTTTTCTTAAAAGACTGAATGATGCTTAATAAGGCGTAAACTCTACGTTCTCGCTAATTTATGGGCGGGTAAAAACAATTGCAACAAGTGTATAGATCTTCCTACCAATTTGAACCGTTTCTCTTGATAAGAATGCAACTTCTTCCTGTGTCACTGGTTCTGCTAGCCGGCCACCATAAGCCACACAGAGGGCCTAGGAAACATGTTTAATACAATAATATAACTGTTAAACTTTTCTTTTCTCTTGGCTTGGTCCAAAGTCTTTTTGCAAATTGTATGTTTTGTCTAATTAAAAAAATATATAGCGTATCTTATCGATCCATAGCAATCCATTTGGGTCACCGAATCAGTTCCAAAACGCAGCTTGAATTCGAATTAGTGTAGTGACTGATTTTTTAAACTTTGTGCATTAAACTGCAATTTAGGGAAAGTACTTAGTAATCATTATGACAACGTGTTCGTTACTGGTGTCACTTTGTTTGATTTTTACTTTTTTGCGTCTTATGTAACGGTTCTTTAAATACTTCAACTGACAACTAGGTGAAAATTCGTTAATCGAAACGTCTCTGCGAGGAACAGCGTATCATTAAAGGAAATACATTTATTTTTCTCAGAATCTATCTTATATTTTACTACTATTCCTTTAACATAAGTTACATGAAATATTCTACATACAGCATCTAAGAAATATTGCAATAATAAAAGGTGTTGATTGCAATGGCAAATAATTAAAAAAAAAATAGTAATGAAGGTTCATAATGAGAAGCGAATTTTTTTCACACATTGCAAAGTTTTTGGAACTAAATCCTTTAGAAAAGGGGTCATTTACAAAAATATCACCCTCAGAAGCGCCATATTCTTCTTCAACTGATTGTCGCAATCATAAATTACTTGAGTCTTATAAACTACATGTACTAGTTTTTATCATTATAAGCAATTACTTTAATTAACAGACAAGGAAGAAATGCAAAAGGAGCTAGGATATTATAACCGCAAAAATAAATACGTTTATATTGTAATTATACTATCAGTTAAGTAGCTTATTGGTGTTTATATATTCAACATTCCTGACTGACTATTACGACACTAGCAATTATAAAGCTAAAAGCGTTCTTCTAAGCTGAAAGTCATCAGTACTTACAGATGCCGCAAACCAGGGTTCCTTCACTTTGCTGAAGAAATAACATTTATCATGATGTTGTATCCAACCATTTGCGCAACGTGTACCTTGAAAATCATATCATGTAGATATTATCTTTCACTTTAAATATGAATGCGTAATATAACTACATACTGATAGACAGACATAAATTTATGTTCAGAATATATATTAATCTCGTTCACATTCATTAGAAATTTGCTAGTGTGAAATAAATTTTGAATATTTTTTTCCTATGTTTAAAGCAGATATATCAAATAAGTTACCTTGTTGTGCTTCAAGAAAAGCAGGTAGAAAAATATAAAATGCAATAAAATCCTTTATATCCATTTCTTTTTACCTGTGTTATCTTTCTACTTGCACTATCAAGGTGTGAATACGTCAAGGTTACACATAAATCTATGTGGTCTGAAATCCCAACCATTGTGTCCAATTTCAAAAACAGGTAAAAATCTGTTATGCTAACAATACCCTTTTTTGTCTTTAAAACCTAGGTACCTAATTCCAACCACAAAATTTAAAGCTTTCGGGAGCTTCCACTACCGTGAAAGCATGGGTTAAATCTTCCAAATTCCCTACTTGTGTAGTAATAATTTCTTATGAATAAATGAAGTAGAAAAAAGAACACACCCAAAGTAGTTAAGAAGAGTCAGTGTATAGAGGACAACTGGCATGGTGGCTACATGTCAGAAATTGTGTCTTGTTTATTTTTTGTTTTGTGTTTTTTTTTTTTTTAAAGAAGGATCATCCCAGGAACAAATTTTATTAGGAATGAAGCCAAAAAAAAAGACGATGACATTGTATTTTTTTCATATATATATATATATATATATATATATATATATATATATATATATATATATATATATATATATATATATATATATATATATATATATATATATATATATATATATATATAATTCAAGATAGCATTTGTTTACACATTTGTTTAGTAGAAATGTAATAATTTCCAAAATGTGCATTTATTTAGTTCATAAGATAAAAAAAAACGAGTTTTTTAAATGTAGAAGTATAATTAAACACACATTTCTGAAAATATAAGGTATTTTTCAATTAAGCACCAAATATCTATAACACTACACTTCATTACAAAAATTTCCTAAAGAATCGACGGATAAATCCTCGGACATTTTCCATAAGGCTGCTAAATAAAGACTGCTTCCCAGAAGGTGGTGATTTTGTGGTAGAAAAGAGTTCCATTTGTTTTCTTTGAGGTCTTATTGAAGAATGGCGCTGAATTGAAGTAGAAGTCTGCAATTGTGTGCTTTCTGTCAGGAATATTTTTAAACGATTGGTTGCTATGCAGGAGCTGGAATCAGATGACTTAGATGGATCTACCAAGCGATAAACAACTCCATCTTTATTTTTACTTCTGGGAAACCTACCTTCTAATACGTATAATTCACCTTCAACATCTTCCCCAAATGAGATCAATTTTTGGTTAATCTGATTATTTAGCGGTTTTGTACACAGATCTGTGCAGAAGTTGATGGTTTCGCTTTTCCATTGATCAGATTTGAGTGAAAGTGTTGCCAACCATCCAGTGAAGTCCCCATACACGTATTTCCCAGTCAACTTAGGAATTTGACATCCTCGGTAAAAATAACCCCCGACTACAGCACTTCCTTGGCTGTGATGGTAAGAATGTATAGGCTGTTCTAGGTTGGCTATCTTGTCACATTTATTTTTCTGTCGGCACTTTGGCCCTTCGTAGACATTCCAGCCATAGTTTGCACCCTTCTTTAAAAGATCAAGTTCTTCCCACTTATTCCATCCCACATCTCCACATATGATTCTTCCCTTGCCTTCTCCAGAGCTAGGATCTCCGTCATACTGTCCACACCTCCAAGGACTTCGGAGACCGTAGGCATAAATTTCAGGCAGGAAATCTGGATCTCCAACAAATGGATTGTCGGCTGGAATTCCATATGGTCTACCATCGGCATCGTATACGTCTACATCGATTCTTAAGACTGAACCTGCCATTTCAGAGGTATTCAAGGTTGACCCGATAGGTTGAAAGCTAAGATCTCCAAGTGTTACTAACAGGAAGCCGTTCTCGTCAAACATTATCTGACCACCTGGGTGATATTTCACCGGCTCATCAAGTTCTAAAATTACTCTTTCAGTTGACAGATCTGCAATATTTGGATTTTCAGAAGATTGTTTAAATTCACTCACCCGAACAGTAGACTGCCGACCATTCACAGTCTCGTGCTCAGTCCCATAGAACACATAGAATTTTTTGTTTTCATTAAAATTTGGATGAAAAGCCATGTTCAGCAAACCAAGATCATATTTAAACACAACTGATTTAGAGATGTCTAGATAAGGTTCTTTTTCTGCCTTCCCGTTTAGATAATAAATGAAGATTTCACCATGGGCATCTCCAATAAATAAACGATGTGTGTCATCCTTCACACCAATAACAAATGAGGGAAGGATAAGTCCTGTTGCAAATGGCTGCAAACACAAGCAAGGATTAGTAGTTGGGTCTTTTTTCTGGCTTCTTTTGTTGACAGCAAAATTTGTACCAGCAAAGCAATATCGTTGGTCAATAGATTGAACGAATGAGCAGAAGGAATCTGACGTCTCGATTTCATTCAATATGAGAGTATTATTCGTAAGATACGGAATTATTTCACGGCACTCCGAATATAGTTGATCACAGTAACCTTTACAGAGTCCTGGGAAATCTCCTAAATTATCTAATCCAAAAATATTGTAAAAATGGCCCGAATTCGGATCGCATTTTGCACAAAAGATCTTTTTCAAGTACTGTTCACATGTCCTCCAGTACTGGGTTGGGATTTTAGTCTTAGTATTCTTAAACTCATTCCAGATGGCACTATCTGTCTTTGTAGAACAACATCCTAGACCAGAATATTCAGAACAAAATTTCAATGGTCGATGTCTTTTAACTGCGTCAGAACCATCAAAGCAGAGATGTGCATGGAGTAATTTCCATCGTGATAAAAATATAAGCATCAGAATTGATATAATTGTTTGCCTCATTTTGAAACATGAAAGCAACACCTTCAAAATGTAATATAAATCGTAAAGCAGTTAATACACTTTTCTTCACCGACTGAGTTATTTATACTTTATGAACCATCGTTTGCGGTACAAGGTATACAGGGAAGTTTGATTTGACGTATTAATTATACAAGGCGCATAACATTATCGAATCAATTAATACATGAATAACTTATTAGATATAATCAGTGTATTTTGGACTTTAAGACGATGTTATCATATGGGAGTTGTCAAATGAGAGAAAATATTTTTCAGAGTGATATCTGTTTGTCCTATATGTTTCCTTATCAAAGCACTACCTCTTCTGCATATTGCCTATTTTAGAGCTGTATGAATTGAGCCACACTTTTTTTTGCGGTATTTGATTTTTTATTATTCATGTGTGCTTATCAACATTACAAAAACTATCATTTTCATAGGCATGATATACCGTGTATCAGCAAAAAAATAATCTTAAGCAATTTGGCATTTTAAGCTCTTTCTACAGAAAAAATCCAAAAATTAAAAACAAAACAAACTTTTCTGTTTCTTCTGAAAGTCAGAAATAGAACACATCTTCCAACATTGCAGATATCTTTAAAAAACAGAGATAAAATTATTCAAAAATAATGCTCAACTGCATTAAATTTTCATCGATAAAGACAGTAATTTGTCTTTATATTGCCCATGCATCATAATTGCAGAGTTTTACTTACTTTTTTTTTAGTTATTTTAAGAACATAGGATACTCATCAAAACAATATGTTATAGAAATCTGCAAAACAGTTTGTAAAGGCTTTAATTCATTAGTGATAATACATATTTATTGCGAAATTTCCTACCAAAACAGCCTTTATTTATATTCCCCAAATCTCAACTTTTATTTTATATCATTCTTGAAATTCAATGCAAAAACATGAAAAAAATAAATCTCTGACAATAAATATATTCCATAATTTCACATATATAGTACAAAGCTGTAGAGCAGGTACATCTCCCCACAACTCGTGCCACTCTGAGGAGGATACTTTCTCTACACAATCCCCCTCACGGCATGGTTGTCCTGCAACGTTCCCTAGATCTGGCATACACCCATTGCCCCTCCAGGACCATTGTAGTAATTCCCACTATTACCTTGTTAATAGAAATGATCAAAATTAATGGTTAACAAAGATGGATAACGACTATCTAACATGAATGAACCATAGAATTCTAGGCTTGTTCGGTTAATAGTATATGCACGTTCATTTCAGAATTGTTTGGCCGTGAAGTACATGTAGAAAGCATTTTTATTTATGTTGCTCTGATAGATCTTAATTGTGATTAATCATTAATTTGTAATAAGAATTCTCACTTTCTTATTTGTTCACCTTGTGCCTCCAGCCTCAAAATTTCTGTTCCATTTATTCAACGCTTCCTTAGCGACATGGGCAGGCCACTGTACGACTGTGTAGTTCTTTTTAGTATATCTTCTTATTATTTTTCTTAAATAAATAAATAATAAATAGATAAATAACCACCATGTTACCCAACCGTGGAGACTGAAGCAATCGTTTTTGGCGGCAGATTGTACATGGCGTACAATGTCAACTTGATAAAAAAGTTGGAGAAAAGATGAGAGTTGAGATAAAATTGTAAATAAATAGTAACAAAAAGTTTTTTTTAAACTTCTTTCAATAATAATTGAACATAAATTATAGATTTAACACAATTTTTATTTATTTATTTGCTTATTTATCTATTTACTTATTAGCTCTTTTAAAATACAACATACCGTATTCGAAAATTGTGTTAGGGGAGCAACAGACTGCCGTTATTTTTTTTAATAAATAGAGAAATTCAAAATTGAATCAAATGCGTTTGTTTCCCCTTTATTCAAAGGTGGATAGTACAAAACTCCTAAGATTTTTTAACAAATTTAAATTCACACACCATTTCGATAATCAGCCAATTCATAAACTCTTTATAAAATTATATTTATTCATATGGAGAAATTGCGTTCTGTCTGCTTATTTGCATAATTATCTACATTATTTGAGCTATAATGGCGACAAAACTTTTCTAAATTTTTATTACTTTGTTCTTCCGTCGATGATTTGATTTTTCTTATTATCTTCTACCGAAATGACATGATTGTATATAGCCAAAGTGAAAGTTGAGAACGCCTTTTGGATTTGAAAATTCCAGGTGAGAGTATACTGTTTTATTGAAGGAAAGAGAACAAAATTGGCGTACTTATCATTTCTGTTGAAGAAAAGTAAGTGTTCATTGCAAGTTGACAGAGTTCTGTCGCTGATTTATAGGTGTAGGAGAAAATCTATTTTATAAAATACAGATGATTGACATTTCCTGACTAGCCGCGACTGCCTTTTCACTTTAAAAACGACGACGATAGAATATAATATCATCTCATAATTTAAATTCTGACCACCATTTTGGACAGAGAATCAATTTTCACCCAATAAAGATGAAGATAATGAAAAATATTCAATTTCACAATCCTATAAAAAATCGAGAACAGGGCAAAAACAAGGATCTCAGGAAATAACAGAGAAAGGATCAGGTGCCTAGAATAACTATGCTTTCCTTAAAGACTTTGTGCACCCGCCTCGACCAATCTTTATTGAGCAGGTAAACGAAGTAATTCATAGTCAAAATAAGTTGTTAACAATGTAATCAATGTAATAGTAAGGAAAACGTAAGTGTAACACAACGACAGATCCTTTAATGAAATATGTGAAGATAACGAACAGTATTCGAGCTCAGAAGTCCATTAAACATTACAAAAAAGGAGCAGAGCAAACACGGACCTCTAAGACATCAGAGGTGGGATCAAGTGCCATGGAGGAGTGAGCATCCCCTGCCAACTGGTCACAGCCGCCGTGTGCTCCTTGTCATGATCGGAAAATAACGGAAAATCCGTCGACAATTCAGTGTGTAAATAATGGCCTAACAATTAGTATGAAAAAGTCAGTCAACATAATGATACTTAATGATAGATTGTATTTGCTGATAAGGTCATTGTATCGACCATAGAACTTACGAAATGATGACTTTAAACGAGACTGCTGATATTCTTGTTTCATCAACTTGTTTCTTAATAACTTACCTCGTTTTAGAAATTGTTCATACGTAGAGCATGCTCTTGCGTATCGAATCAAATGAGAGATATAAACCCCGTATGCAGGTGATAAGGGTATATTATAGCATAAGTAAGGGAAGTTGACGATTGAAAAGTTAAAGTTTATCATAAAGCTTTATTGTCAGAATACCATTAACGTCTTTTTTCTAATATAATATCTAAATATGAAACAGATGTGCCAGACTCTGTGGTATCTTTTATACCAAGCTCACCGGGATATGTCGTGTCGACATAAGAATGGAAATAACCATTGTTAATTGACAATACGTCGTCGATATATCCAAATGTCGAGTTGAAGGCCACAGCAAGTGTTTCTTTCTTTTCACGTAAACGATTTTGAACAAATTTTGCTTCATATGATTACAAAAATAGGTCTGCTAGTACATGTAACGGGGCGCAATTGGTATCCATGGAAATTCCGATAGATTGTTGCAAGTTCTGGCCTCCAAAAACCACATGGATATTGTCAATCAGAAACTAGAGCACCTTTTTAATGTCAACTTCAGACACTTGTGTGTACAATCAGATTGTTTTTTAAGAAAAAAAAACCAAGGTCATTATAACGACTGTTAAATGTTTGAAATACTGATTTAAAACAATACTTTTGAAATCCCTGTATCATCAATATATTTTTCAGTCGCTCTCTAAGTTAAAATTTGATTCTTACCATAACATGCTTGTGTAACGAACATGTCTGAGACAGAGACACCATATGCTTATACAAAATGGGAAATTGACGACTAAGAAGCTGGAATGAAACTTTATTAGATAATTCATCATTGGTTTGCCATTGTTGTTTATATCTAAAAAAAAAAAAAAAAACAGGCTTATGTTGCTGAGTCTATGGTGCTTTTATTTTTATTTTTTGAGAATATATCGTCTTCAAACATGATATATGTATTTCATATTTAAAAGAAAACAAACTTTAATTTCATTTCTTCTGTAGTAAATCTTTGATCGCAAACATTGCTAGCAATATTAAATAAGCTTGAATCTACTTGACTAGAGAATGTTTTATATCAGAATAACTAATTGTGACACCACTCTTACAGAAAAGAAAATTCTTAATATCCCGATTCATAATTTTAACCTCATATCAAATGTTGTGTCTCAGCTAGTAGGCTCTGGAGGCAAAACTGAAAACAAAATAATCTACACTTTATAAGAAAGCTTTCACTTGTGTTGTTTTTTTCCCCCAAAAGATTTCTTTTTCATTTTAAACAACAGGCCCAAGGGCCGTAAGGTCACCTGAGTATAATACTGTAAAGGATTTATAGAAGCATAAAATTAATTGATAAAACAAAATAAACTGATAGATGAAGATAAGATGCTAATAAAAGAGAGAGAAATAGGTTGATCAGGGATCAACAAAATAATTAGTCTACTATTCAGTAACAAATCAAAATTAATTGTGTTTACTAGTCTGTACTTGCTCCATTTGTCATTACATGTATCAACATGAAGAATAAACAAGACAATAGTGCTTGAGTATTATTAGTAAACCTGTGGAAGAGTGGTTTCATATGAAATAAATAATTATTTATGATCCAATGTTGTTATGTTGTTTTCATTCATTATCATCATTGCATTTTTACTTATTTCACTTTGCAATTTGTTAATAATTCTGGCTGGCTGATCTTCGCGACCTTTGATAGTACGGTGTGAGTAGTTTTATTGGCCAAAGGTTTGGGCGGTACGTTTTCTATTGTTTAGGCTAGTGTGCGGGATATTCACTTCTCGCACGGACAACCAACGTCAAGGATGTGAGATGATTTTGTCTCGACTGGTTACCATATTACATTACAATAATGGTGTTTTACAACTACAAGATGTCCATGGTCATCACACAGAGTATATTCAGTAAATTTTATCTCTTTTCTACTTTTATCTTTCTATCTTATCGTAATATAATTTCTTCGATTGAAAGGGAGAACGAGTGAAGTTTTGAAATAAAGTTCATTGTATTCTGTAAAGTATTATTATCAGTAATCATATTGATTGTAAGCAACGCCAGATATAGATGTTGTAATCTGAAAGTATAAAAAATATTTTTATCCAGAGATTTTGAGATTTATTACGGCTGAACCTGTGATTGTTGTTTTTATATACAGTGTAGGCGAACCTACAGCGTGTGCATATAGTCAGCCTAATTCCATAAATTAATACGTTATAACAATTATTCATTGTTTATACGTTTTTACTACACTTTGATAAATTATTCATATTTTTGCTGAAATTTCTATCTGAACACGATTTTCGTCATTCTGTAATTTGTAAGAGTTATTTCCCTTTTTATGCATTCATGAATTCTGAACATTTACAATTGGTTTAAAGAAATATGAGCTGCAACTCTGATGTCGGAAATTTGTGTTGCAATATTGTAATTAACTATTTCAATGACTGAGAAAAGAACGTTTTTAAACTTCTGTTGTTCATATTTTCGATGGAAGAACTATTTATAAGCTTTGATGGAAGAAAAATTACATTATTGTCGTCCTGGACAATATTGATTTCTTATATCATACTATACATTCCACTGTACAGAAATCTTTCTTCTAAAACAATTTAAAATGTTATTTTCGTCTAATTGATCATAAAGGATTAAATTACATACAGATTTATAATAACGGCACATTTTAATAGCAAAATAAAATTCTCAAAAATGCAGCTCATCTTGCTTTAATCTATTGGTAGTAAAATCCGTGTCTAACTATGAGGACTGCATATAACTGAATATGTTGTTTGATGCCATATACTCATTGTATTTTATTTCTTATAGGACGATTTGATTATTCTTTGATTGATTGATTCCTGTGGAATGGGATCCAATAAATAGTCGACCCCTTTATCTCTGTTATTCTTCATCTACTATACATAACACGGTCACAAACTCATCGCTGATCTCAACCCCACCTTAATTGGCTTCTCTTTTTCTTTGAAGAACGTTTAATATACAAAGATAAGGTATTTTTGTCTCATTTTTTTATTTATCTATTATGTAAAGTCTTCCTGAGCATTACAGGACATTATTTATATTATTTACAGTGTTTAATTATCGTTGGTGAATGAAATAGGAGAATAATTTCTCAATAGATCAATAGAGCGCAACCAAGCCCATTCTAACATCGAAAGACTGAACTGAGTGGATATCTACAAAAACGAACTGAGTTTTCTTCAAATTAGTTTATTCCTTACAATTGTAAATACCAGTTAAGTGTATTGAATTGGTCGTTGGAGCATCAAATCAACAATCTCCTTTTAACCAATGATGTTTGGTTCAATGCTGAAAAAAAAAGATAATCAAAAAGTATTATTTTCAAAGCTAACTTCATGAATGATTTGAAAATAACAATTGTCACAGAAAAATAATCTTGTTACCAAATATCAATGAACACTGTACTTTTATGAAGTTTGAAATTAGTAAATTTTAATACAAGTGTTAAGAAACGGTAGGAGGGATAAAAAGTATAAAGTGTTTAGAATATTGCTTTTGGGGGTTTGATTGTTCTCACTAAAAGGATTTCAGTAAATATGTTTATGCCCCCGAATCTTCAAGCGAAGTTTGTTTGTCTGCAAAAATTTTAATAACCTTGCCCCATATCCTTAGGTCGGTTGGAACTAGGCTTTTATACTTTACATATGTACATGTATTCCTTGTGACAAGACCTTTCTTTGCAATTGGTTACAAACATATTTGACCTCTTCACCTTGAAGTTTCACACACTTTTGCAAAATTTTACCATACTTTAAACCTTGCATAAGTTTTGAACGGTTTGTGTTAGACCTTTCATACTTCACATGTGTATTTGTTTTGATAAGACCTTCCCTTGGATACAATTATTTTTTTACTTTTTGACCTTGGAGATTGACCTCCTTTTGAAAAACTTTTACCTTGGCCATACGTTTTGAATTGTTGGAGCTATGCTTTCGTTTTTCGCGTATGTATACCTTGTGACAAGACTTTTCCTTTGGTACCAATAATTTTGACCTTTTGACCTTGAACTTGAAGTTTGACTTGGAGAAACTTTAACCTTCGCCATGAGCTGCCATGCAGGTATCAGTGTTTCACAAACATCTTGTTTTTCTCATGAAGATCACTGAATAAAGGTTTTAGCTCGAAGATTTAATTAAACAAAAGGACAACAAATTTGACTTTAAATCTAAATTTAACTTAATATGTTTTCTTACAATATTTTCAATGCATTATTTCGATTATAATTAGTAGTAAAAATGTTAGCAGTATTAGTAATAGTGGTAGAAGAAGCATTAGTAGTAATTATATAATTTCAAAAAAAAAAATCATAACTTGCATGTGCAGTTATATTACTAGTACTAGGTATATGATAATTATAATCTGAAACTTCGATTTAGCGATTGCTGTCATTACCAATCAAATTAAGGTATGTCACTCGTCAGATTTTTAGAAAAGTTCAGGCAGAACCTCTTACTTCAAAACTATTTATCAAAATTAATTTTTCGTAACATACTTGAATGAAACAATGTAAATTGTTCAACATTCAATGAAAAAACTGCTCAAAAATTCATAAAGAAGCAAGATTTATGAGGGACTATTTCTTGTGGTGGAAGGATATTTAGCAGAAAATTCTGCAAATCTGCACATTTATTAAATTTAATATCTTGGAACTTTAGACTCACATACTTTTACTCAGAGAATATTTTTCGTTATGATATGCTAGGAATATTAAATATATGTCTCAATTTATATTTTTATAACAAATTTTACACCTTCCCTCAACAAACTTTGCTGAGAAATGAAGATATATTAAAGAAGTCAAGATAAAATTTACATCGTTTTTTTTGCCTGAAAATCGCATATTTTACAAATATTTCAAAATTTACATCACTGACCCCAACTTTTTCTTTCATTATTTTAAACTTCTCGATACTTGTGACTGATCAGCACTGAAGTCGTAAAAAGTTTGATACAAAAAATATTTTATTGTCTATTTAGATTTTTAATACCCCAAATATGTTACTTTTTTAGTGCAAAAAGGTCACACAATAATTTACGCGCATTAATTTGCAAGATTTGTTCAATGATAAATATTATTCAAACTATTTTACATAAAATAAGATTATATTTATCGCCATGGTTACATCTGATAAAATATGATAAAGGTTAAAGTGATTAACCAAAGAGTTAAAATTTAAGTGCAAAAAGGTCAACTTAATTGTACCGTAGATCAGTAAGATGCACACTGACCCCCTGTTTTCTCTGCGATTTTGAGTCATACTATATGAGTACTTATCCAAAATATACTTCTCAAAAAATCCTTGATATAACAAATTTCACGAGTGACATACCTTAAAGTGCATCTGCATTAAATATAAATCCTGGAAAGGAGTTATTGGAAATCCAGGAAGAAACGTATCCACAGAGAGGCTAATATTAATGATTTTGACTTTTAATGGCTCTGTTGTTCTTGGGAAGGAGTTTTCTTCTTTTTTTTTTTCTTTTACATTCCAATGTTAAATTTTTATGTCCTATTTTGGCTCTAGAGGACATGATTTGAACAAACTTGAACCTGAAACAGAAGATGTTTGCAGATTAATAAGTTCTGAAGAAGAACATTTTAAAGACTTTTTCTATCTATTTCAATTGAAAAATGTATTCCTCACATCAGGACCCATCCTACAAGCGGGGCCTTAATTTGAACAATTTGCACTACCTGAGGTTCCTTGCATATCAATATAACTTATCATATGCATGGCCTTGGCCTCCTTGCAGAGGATATTTTAATGTCCCTCCATCTATTCCTATCTTATGTAAAAACTTGACCCCTTGTTATTGCTCCAACCGACCTATAAGGTCAAGATCTGTACAAACGTAAATATACACTACATACAGACAGACAGACAGACATTCTTTATTTCCTCTTAAGCAGAGATCAATGTAACAAACTATTATGTATGTAACAAGAGTTGAACTTTAGAACACAAATGTGCAAATATGTACACAAGTTACTGTCAATAATTTAAACACTATGTACATCACATTTTATCAAGTTATGATGCTAAAGTTTTATACTATGTATAACTGAGTGTTCATTTCTGTCACCATGCGTGACACACCATTTGAATCCCTTCCCCAGTTATGCTTTGCAAATAAAGTTGAAAATATCGAAAAAATGAAAAGTTAATAAACGGTAAAACAATTATAATGTCATAAGAATACAATTGCGATTAATTTCAAAGATTTATTTACCTGAAAAAAAAAAACCTTTTTAGATATCATAATTTTTTTTGAATTTATATTAATTTGGCGCTCCATACAGAGCTAATAATTTCATGGTAATAGATTATTTTCTATTCTGGAAATTTTTGGTAGTCTATGCTGGTTTAATGGTCACAAAACTCAGATAACCAGCTTTGACTTTGCAAAGCTGATACAAAACAGTTAGCAGTTTTAATTAAGTGTTAACCGTTATAGAATATTTAATACATTTAAAAAAGATATTTCCAAATTTTCTTTTTTCTAACAAGGAGATATTGTGCTATTTCGATTATGACTTGTCCGATTATTTGAATGTTCTCTTAGAATGCTAAAATAATTTTTCTTTACTCGGATTTTACAACGGCAGTTCAATTTTTAAGAAGATATTTTATCTTTTAAAAATCTGGAAATAAAATGAAATCTTACTCTAAACTGTATTCACAGATGAAATAAAAAGGAGAATGACAAGGAACATCTGTCCATTGTCCGTGATAAGTTGTGCCAGAATCAATCGCGGCACAGTCCTCTTCATGATAGTTATCAGGTCCCCCTCCCACCCAAGGCATGTGTACTGTCACAGGGGACTTTCTGGAGGCATAGACCCATTCACCTTCCAAGAAAGCATCCGTCACACCTAAATAGTAATCTCCACCATTTCCTGTATTAAAGTTACATTCATTAAGTATAAAAAGTGGAAAATCAAGAGATTTTAAAATTCTAATAATATAATATCAATACGAATTGGCATTCTTAAATTCTAATCTTCATAAGAAAGTCAGTATAACCAAACTTCAAGTATTGACAAAAATAAATCGTGTTCAATCTTCCAACACTTTTCCTAAATGATAAAATGGCGCTTAGGCGTTTTGCGTCCATTTTGTAGACTGGTATAGACATTTGCAAATTACTGTATGGATCTGCCAACCTATTTGCACCGATTCTCTGTTTAAGAATGTTACTTCTTCCTGTGTCACTGGTTCAGCCAGTCGGCCACCATACGCCACGCAGAGGGCCTATAAAATTTGTATGAAGTAAAATTTAAAATTGGTAAAAACGGATAATATATATCGTTGTATTTCATAATGAATAGTTTCTAGTCTATTTAGAGAAACATTATAATTGATATTAGCTCTCCGAAAAATATTTAGGGTCATTTAATTTTTTATTACCTAACCTACTTTACGATTTATAATTAGGCATTTTGAACTCTTTCATGATTTATTTTTAGTGATTTTGCATATCGTAAAACAATCAAACTGTAACCCAGTCACGGAATGAATTGTTATACCGGGGCACTGTCCCCTATATAACTCTATGGGGGGAAAAGTCTAGCATTTTGACTGTTTTGGCGACTGTTGGACAGAAACCGTAAAAATAGACTGTTAAAAAAGACTGTTGGCCAACTTGACGTCATATGGCGCTAAAGCGTGTTGTCTTTTACGTCATTTAGTTCTAAAAGAAATAAATAACTGATGTACATGTATGCTTCGCAGCTGTACAGGAAGAGAATGTTTAGGCCATTTGAAAAAGCAAAGACGACAAAACAGAGAATAAAATATTCTCTGTGATGTTAAATGCAAATAGACATGAAAGCTGGTGTTCATAGAAACGAACAAAACCTTTTTTTACATAATACAGAGATTTTTTTAACCTACTTATGTACAAAAGGGGTCCTTTATATTGAACAGTGAAATATTACATTGAATTTTATTATTCAACAGTGGAGAGGAGCTAACATTGTAATAATTATAGAGCTTTGTGTTTCTTTTTAAGTTGAAAGACACCTACGTATAAAGTCATCAGTACTCACAGATGCCGCAAACCAGGGTTCCTTTATTTTGCTGAAGAAATAACATTTGTCATGATGTTGTATCCAACCATTTGCACAACGTGCACTGGTGCCTAAGAATATCATAATATGAGGCTAACATCTTAGATTATGTATAGTATATCTAGATACCGAGAAACTTACTTGTTCTCACATTCAGAATATTCTTCCCAATAAAATGTATGTGGAATTTGCATGAAGGGTACTTTTTGAGTAACACGTTAATATATATATATATTAAATAACTTACCTTGGCTTGCTTGAAGAAAGGAAAAGAGAAAAATATAACATACAATTAAGTAGTTCTTTGTATCCATTTCTTGGTATTTGTGTTATCTTTTCTTTTGTACTATTAGATTGTCAAGGTTAAGTATAAATTGATTAATACGTGGTCGGAAATCTTCCCCATTGCGTTCTCGATCAAAAATAGATATAAACAAATATGTAATGTCGACGATAATTTCTTTACTTTTATTACTTAAGCAAATTGTTATGCCAACTACACAATGTTAAGCCTTTGGGTCAGTTTTGGAGTTTTCACAAATATAAAAATATAGGTCAAATGTTCCTATTTTTCACTTTCGGTGGTAATAATGTGAGACATTAATTAAGAAGAAAAAACACATCTATCGGGAATAGTCAAATACAGGACAGCGAGGTATTATTAGTAATGAAACAAAAAAGGATGAACTTTTTCTTTTCCTAAAAAAAAAACATTTTCATTTTCATCGTTGAAAAGAGCAAATGCTACCCAGGGGTTCGATTTCATCGAGTGAGGTCTAAGTTCTGATTAAGGAATAAAACTGTATTAAAAAATTGATATGTTTAAATAATTGTTCCCGTGTAAGTCTTTTAAGATTCATAGTCCCTCTGTTCATTCATATAAAGTTTTACTTTAACACTACCGATTTTTTTTTAAAAAAAATCTCTTTTACTAGTTAAATGCCCACAATTTCAGCAAACATTGCTGAGCAAAACTTGACAGAAAATACTTTATATCTTTATTAAGGTCTTCCGTTTCCAACGGAAGACCTTCTACTGATTCTGATGATTAAGATTATTAAGGTCTTTCGTCACAACGGAAGACCTTCTACTGATTCTGATGGTTAAGATTATTATTCTTTTTTAAGGTCTTCCGTCTTCAACGGAAGACCTTCTTGTTATTCTTAGGTTTCTTTTTCACTTTTATTATTATTATTGTTTTTTTTTTCTTACCGATTTTGTGCACGCGATTTCTCGAAAACGGCTCGATGGATTTCCATGAAACTTTCAGGACATATGTAACATCAGTTGAACCTTATGCGTTTTTTTCTGTTTTGATGACGTCACTTCCGGTCCGACGATATTGCCGATTTAATGGTTTTCGAAGGGTCGGGTTGTCCGCAGATTTTCTCATATACGGCTTTAGTTAGAAACATGAAACTTTCAGGTATGGTAGACCTATCTCTGTAGATATGCGGAAGGCCTTTCATTTCTTTCGGAAGTGCCGCGCGTCGGCGCTCGCTATGGCCCGAAAAAAGTCCTATCGGGAATTTTAATTTTTCTAACCCTTTTTCTATAATATCTTTTTACCTGTAAATATTTTGTTAAAAGATATAGAACAAAAGTTGTGTAGAATATTACGATCCTTCAAATGATACCAACAATAAGGGCCTGGCCCCTAACATTAGGGAGCTAGAGGGGCCAAAAGTGTTTTCCTGATATCTCAAAAAGTATTGAGAATTTGTATAGCTTCGTAGAAGCAAAGTTGTTCAAAATGATAAGTAGCAGCTAAGGAGACCATTAAAAGTCGTCAAAATGACGTCACTTCCGGTCACATCGAGAGTAATGGTAAATGGCTCATTTTTGCACATATGACCGTAGAAGTCTCTCCATCTCAATCTCATCTCCTTCAAATTTAGACGGAAGACTTATTTGTTGCTTTGCAACAAGCTCGTCTAGTTTTTTCTTCTCCTATCTAGACGCCAACTTTGAGGCCTCATATCTCGCTCATTTCTCAACGGATTTTGCTCAAATTTGCAGGGTTTATAGACGTTACAAAACTCTATCAGAATGCTGTCAAACATGTCAAAAATCCACTTCCGCTTTTGAGTTATCTCCCTTTAAATGAAAATTTAGGACTCTTCATTTCCGGATAAAGGCACCGAGACTACAAAAGCTGGAGTAGAAATTCTACCGAATTTAAATAATAGAAGCATTGAAGTTGTGCACATCTATTTTTGTTTTTTGATTTCTGTGTTCAAAATGGCGCTAGATAGGGGTCAAAAATTAGAACGCCTAAAAGCGCGAAAATTTACACATATTTTCCTATGTATCTTTTAAACTAAAAATATTTTGTTAAGACATGTTGAATAAAAGTTGTGCACAATTTTAAGGTCTTTCATTTGGCACCTCCAAAAGGGGGCTTGTCTCTTAAATTAGGGATCTAGGGTCCTTGAAAGTTTTCGTTTTACAACTCAAAAACGGTAAATATTTCGATATAGCTGTCGCTAAAAAAGTTGTTCTTTAACATATTATTGATCTCGTGAACTTGTTATTTTGTTCGAGTCTTTTTTAATAAATGAGCTAGAAGCTTGACCCATATACAGGTAACTAGTTTCATTAGACAAGTGAAGGTGAAATCTTTATGCGCATAACTGAAATAAACTTGCTATAAATGATAAACCTATCCAAAATAAATACTAATACTACTTTAAAATAAGTTTTTACGTGTTCTGTGGTTTCATTCCAAATTATTGAGTCACACATTTTCAATACGTCTCGGGGTTTGTTTTTGTTTATAATTACGTAACCGGCCATCCCCCGATCACGCGTGACCTATAGATCCAGTGATCAGTGGCCATACACTAAACAGGCATTGCCGTTCTAAATCTATTTTGCAAACTCAACTATGTACGGATAATTGTTTTTTTTTTTTTTTGTTTTTTTTTTTTAGCTAAATCGGATATTTCAAATTATTTCATCTTATCTATGTTGGTCATGTTGTTGATATACTTATTAAATTATTGTGGCCGAAATTACAAGAGATCCATTGCGTGTGAACCAGCGACCTGCGTTCGTAAACAAAACATCTTTTCGTCGTTTAATGTTGAAACATACACTATATTAAATTTAAAAATAAAAGTTAGCAAAAAATAAATCAGTCTTTAACTGCATTTAACTGCGTTTCACATATACCCGGGTTTTGTGTTTGTTTACAATTATGTAACCTAATTATGTAGCCGAGGAAGCAGCTATTAGTGCTCATACACAAAACATTGTCGTTCTATATTCATTTTGCTGACACAATGATTTACGGAAAATTATTTTTTAAATCATAGCGGATCATTCAATTAAATCATTTATTCTTATCTTAATTTGATTTAATTTAAATCCAAAACATTTTATTAAGGACGTATAAAGGTCCCCGATTTCATGAATCCTAATCTTTAAACTGCATACATGTATTTAATAAACGATTTATTTCTCAATTATGTGTTATTATGTGTTTAATTTCGGAGATTCATTACGTGTGGTTAATTCTGCAGATAATTCTAACTTGACACACAAGGTTTGTAGACAAAGAATTCAAAAGAGATATATTTTGAAAACAATAAGACGCATTGCTAAACACTTTTACATTATTTTCTTTTTAAAATGGCTATCTTTATGATTACACCAACTTTTAACATGCTATGTGAAAAACTCTGTCGACTATAGTTTTGTAACTCCAGCATATGACAAGTACATGTGCTTTTTATTAAACACCCAACTTTCCATTAACGCCCACAAAATCTACCTAGCTTAAGATCGATAACATACCGCCCGACAATCATACAAAAATAAAACAATAGCTGCTGATTTGATTGACAGGCCAGCAACCTGCGCTACCTGATACTGTAGTTTGAGTTTGCATGTTTTGAAAGCAATTGCACGTACCTGGTCACGCGTCAAACGCTTTCATGTACCGCTTGAAAAGTCGGTTTGTATACACTCTGGTAAAAACTTGTATCTTTGTTGGTAATTATGTTTCACAAAATAATTGAGAAAAGAGAATTAAACTTTGATTTCATTATTTTTATTTTCACTGCTGTTTTGTACACTGTACTTGTACGCGATATGTCGTCCAAGATAACTGTACAGCTTTCCGAAGAAAAAAAAACTGGCGGTTATTCGAGCCCCTTTTCGCCTTCAATGTCCTCTTCAAAACACACCTGTTTACAGAGAAGAGATCATAATATTCAATAAAATATTTCATATTATATGTAATCTAATTTTGTATGTATCTGAAAGGCTATATTGTGCTGAATTTTTTAAAATACATATTTTATGTAATACATATTTTTTAGCATACGATAAAATATCGCCAACACTATAGGCTTAATTATTTCTAATGTCCAGAATTGTGTAACGTAAATGCCATGCCTTTAAGAAGTATGTTAACTTTTTATAATTTAATTACACTTGCACGCGCGGTTCAAAAAAAAATGTACAAGGAGTACATATACATGGACTTGAATATAACAAACTTATTAGCACATCTAATGATGAAAATGAAAATAATTGATAATACACTTTTACAACTTCATTTCAATGATAAGTTATTCTTAAACTTTACTTCAAATGTCAGAAAGGCCAGCACAGCCAAACTACTGTTAATTGTCTCTGTTTTAATTACAATGTCAATCACAATAACTTTTTTCTTTAGATCCCTTCATTTCTTATTTGTACATAGTTACATGAAATCCACGGCGCTACACCTGTCAATCAAAATTGTAAACTTCTGCTGTACTACATATAAATGTATACTTTTCACTTTGTAACAAGAATCTGTCATTGACAATTAAAAGTGAAGAGTTTAGGTAAAAGACTTTGACAAATGACAAGTTATTCTTTCTTAGTCACTATATAGCTTAAAGCTATATGGTCGTGCCCACCCCCCACCCCCCACCCCCCGCAATTATGTTTTTATTTTTATTTTTATTTTTAATTTTTTTTTTTTTTGCTTAGATATCAAAAAAATTTGATTGTTTGTGCCCCGTCCCAGAAAAAAATGAAATTGCGTTATACAGGCTTAAGTCAGACATTTATCAAAATGTTTCTACCCCTACGATTCGTAGTTGTGGTTTCGAATACCACCACGTCGCCCGCGTGGCGCAGTGGTTTGAGTGTTTGCTCTAGAGTCGCGGAGTAAGGAGTTAATCTTTACGTCGTGGGTTCAACTCCCTCTGCGGGACGTGGAGACCGGTCCTTTGCATGAGACCGTATAAACCGAGGTCCCGTGTAGCAGTAGATGCTGGGACGAAAGAGATCTCTCACTGCTCAATGGTCTTGAGTGTCGAGTATAGGTCTGAATTTGCAGCCCTCCATCGGCAAGTGGTGGCGTTTCCATATGAGTGAAAAATCTCGAGAGGGACGTTAAACAACACA